CAATCTCCCTAGCTGGTAAGAGAGCATCAGTCCATTCCTTGCTTCCCACCTCCGGCTCTGTCCCTGCATCTCATCTCGAGGGCGGAGTCGACTGACCCTGCTATGGAGATTCCCGTAGTCCTTGAGTCTCCCTCTGGTGCTGTTGTTGATCAAGTTCACCTCGCTGTTTCTCTCCTTCTTCGCCCCCTCCCCCTTTCCCTCATTTGTGTCATCTCCCCCAGTGCCTCCTACCACACCAAACCCTGTCGGTTCGCTTATGCCTCTTCCTGCTATCTTTGCTTGATTTACCCATCCCCGTCCCACCCTGATTTCACTGAACCTGAGATCCTGATTCTCCCTAGCATACTGTGTTCTACGTTGACTTAGTTTTTCTCTTCAATTCTTTTTGTTATCTCTGTTCTTGATTATGTCTATTCTTCAATAGTCAATTCAATATTCTTGAGTAGACAATAACGTGGTTTTATACCAATTTCCATTTCCTCTTAACTTGTGATCTCATGTGGAGGGAGGAAGCTTGGGGTCAGCCGAATACAAATCATATCGTACACAAGACCATTCGCCAATTTCAAATGTCGGACTACAAAGACAATCGGCAAACGGATTTTGAAACCTACCTAACCTAACCTAACTCAGCCCAACCTACCCTATTCTAATCCAAACCAACCTAACCCAACCGAGCCCAATGCAGCTTGAGCTAATACACCCCAACATAACAATATACACGATTTTAACAAACAGAAAACGAGCTTCGCCGAATCATCTTTTTATTTTTGTATATTTATATACAAGAGTTGTTACATTCATGTACAGCCACTAGTACGCATAGCGTTTCGGGCAGGTCTAAATCCTATGTTCCCTGGAATACGACCCCGCCAAATCGTTTAACCACTAGGTAGCAATTTTACTGTAGAGTTAAATAGAGGCTACAGTTAAGGATTTGCGCCCAGTAATTCCTCCCCGGCCAGGATACGAACCCATGACAAAGCGCTCGCGAAACGCCAGGCGAGTGTTTTACCACCACACCACGTGGACGGCACATCTCGTGCAGGGTTGCCACATCTAAATTGCTGAAAGTAGCGAGCTGACGGTCTAAAAGTAGCGAATTTGTAATAAGAGTAGCCCAATTTTTTTTTAGTGAATGATATTTATTTATTTATTTATTTATTTATTTATTTATTTATTTATTTATTTATTTATTTATTTATTTATTTATTTATATACAAGAAGGTACATTGGGTTTGTGAGAATACATAGCATAGTACAGTATTTACACTCTTGTAAAGCCACTAGTACGCGCAGCGTTTCGGGCAGGTCCTTAATCTAACAGATAATTTTAAGTAGGTAAATTTTACCAGAATTAATAAAATGATAACAAATACATTGCAAGAAAAAAATGAGATGAGGGAGATTAGTAAGTATATTAAAGCACATTGGTATATTAAAGCTCTGATTGATTACATTGACAACTTGATTGGTAATTTAAACAAGATTAATAGACACCATACAGCAGATTGACAGCACATATAAGAAGACAGCAATGATCACAATGATAAAGATGTTTAGATTGGGTACATAAAGATTGGGAGATTGGGTAGCAATAGATACAGTGCAATTTTAAAGCAACAAGGTAAAAAAACTATGCAGATGAGATTAGGTACTTTTTAGTTTTGTTTTTGAATGACGCAAAAGTTGGACAGCTTTTCAATTCATTAGGGAGTGAGTTCCATATGTACTGAGTTCTTTGGGGCTTACAGTCCCCAAGTGGGCATTTAAAGGCATAGACGACGTTGGTCTTCTTCAAAGCTTTCTGCTTGGTGTCTGGCGAGTTTTTCATGAGTAGATTGGCCGTTTTATAAAACCAAAAAAAACGGCCAATCAAAAAACCATGAAAAACTCTTTGAAGGAGACCAACGTCGTCTATGCCTTTAAATGCCCACTTGGGGACTGTAAGATATTTATAGATATTTATTTCTGGTGTGGTACTCATGGGTTCTATTACACCTATCAAGCAAAAGCTTTAGATCAAGATTGGCATTTAGGAACAAGGGTTTTGTACATGTAGATAGCACACGAGAATGTGTAGAGTGAGTGTATGTTTAGCATGATGAGGGACTTGAACAGAGGGGCTGTGAGTTAGGTTATTTTAATTGCCTTATACAATTTAACGAATAAAAAGGTTTTCGTGCCTTATCATCTATATATTATGATAAACACGACATATCTGCATTAAAATCAGTGTGCAATTCCGGTTTTGGCCTCCACCGCCTTCTCACTTGTTCCCTTGTAACTTGTAACTCACTTGTAACACTTATATGCTGGGCTTCCTATTTTAACCTGCTATGTTAAATGGGAATCTTGTATTGTGATTTGTGTATTTGTACTCACTGAATTTGTGCGCCCCTTGAGGGACTTGAAGTAGAGGGGGGGGGGGCTAGAAATAGCCTAAGCTACTCTATCCCTTTGAGATGTATTTTTTTATTGTCTCAATAAACATACTTGAACTTGAAGTGGACTTTAATGTTTTTTCGGCAGTTTTATTTCCTTAGTTTCCGAGCTGTTTTCTTTACCGTGTATGTTGTAATAAACTATTCCTATATTTACAGTTGTTTCTCCCTGTGAAGATTATTAAACAATGGTGATTATAAGGGCGCGGAAGTTCAGCCTGGCCAGGGCCGCCAGCAGCCCTTGGGCCCGCCCCGGCAGCACCCAGTCTTTAATTTGGCACCTTTGTGGCACCTTTGTGGCACCTTGGTGTAAGCCTAACATGTATATATACACTGGCTGCCTGTCCCCCTACACAATGATTTATTATTACCTATTATTTTATCATTTAATTTAAATATTAAATAAAATAATTTATTTAATTATTATAGTAAGTACTTAATAATTTAATAATAAGTAGTAAGTACATAAAAATAATTAAAAGTACAGTTTAGTCATAGGAGATTCCTAGATTGGAATTCACTACCAAATTTCGATATATCCAAGTATTTTTAGTGTGAAATGCTGTTATTATATGCATAAATTGTTGTTTTAATAATATTACGCTTATAACCACTTGGGTTGGACGGTAGAGCGACGGTCTCGTTTCCTACAGGTCCGCGTTCAATCCCCGACCATCCTAAAGGTTGGGCAACATTCCTTTCCCCCGTTTCATCTCAAATCCGTATCCTGACCCCTTCCGAGTGCTATATAGTCGTAATGGCTTGGCGCTTTCACTTGATAGTTCCCCCACCCCCCTGAATAATATTACGAGAGCAGTATTTACGGGCTATTCATGCCCGTGCCACCTCTTGGGTAGCTTAATCTTCATCAATCGAGAGCAGTACGTCCTAACCAGACGTTATATGATGATATCCTGAACAGTTGATAAATAAAAGTAATTGCGGAACTCCAGTTATCTAATACTTATCATAAATGGTATAATATCTTATCATAAGCCAAGGGATTTGTAGATCAGTGTTTAAAGGAATTCGGAAGTAATAATAACACAGCTGATGCCATCTGTCGGCAGAAGAGAACACTATCAACTGGCTGGTCAATAATGGCCATAAGATACAGCTTACGCCATCTGTTGACATCAAATTACACTTATAACAAATTACCCCACAAAATACAACTAACGCCATCTGTTGCTTTTCCAACGCACTATAAATAGCCAAACAGCAACCCATAAGGCGGGTTGTTGTGCTCAGGTAGGAGGTTCCAAGCTCCGCCCACAAGATGGTATGGGGTGCATAATAAATGGCATATCATTGGTAGATATTCTTTGTTGACATTCACACAACAGCCAATCACAAGAAGGGATTAAAGCTATAGGTGCCATCCACTTAGTAAAGCAGTTATTCAGTTAGTTATTCAGTTATTATTCAGTTAGATGGAGATTTCTGTCAGGTGCAAATCAGAAATTGTTGTTCTTTTTCACAACAACCTTGTTGTGCACAAGGACCTATTTCTTAGTTTAAATTTTATTCATAAAAGAGTGTTGGTATTCCCCGCAACAGCCAATCACAGGAAGGTATTTCTGGAAGCTCGGCCTCCTTATGGACTCAGCACATCGCTCTAGCTCATGGCTCTCTGTTTCATCTCTTGTATATACAAACTATGACTTTTTTCGATTACTGTTATAATTAATAATATGAGATATAAAAGTTTTTACACAAAATAGCTAAATTCTGCCATTAAATGGACTTTGTCTGGTATACATACAAACATGCACCAATTTATTACCATTCATCCATTATTAATTTCAAATGTAATGTATACTGTCTAGTTTTTTCCTCTCGCCATTACTTGGTGCAATATTTGAAAGTTGTCTATTTATTTATCGATCTATCTATTATCTTGTATTTATATTTACAAGTTTCTATACTTGGAAGAAAACTCTGCATTGAATTGGGACTAATTTATTAAATAATATTATTTAGTATTAATTAATATTTGCAATTATTATTAATTACAATTATTTATAGCTTAGTTACTTTCATGTAACTCGCAATCGTACATTCTTTACTTTAATAGCCCAAATTAGCACATCTTGCTTTTAAATTAGCCCAAAAAGTAGCAAGTAGCGAAATTAAAAATTTGGGAGCGCGATGCTCTCAAAAGTAGCCCAATTCGCTATTTGTAGCCCAATCTGGCAACACTGTCTCGTGGCCGAAATAAGTTTCATACATACATAACGACCATACAAGTTTTATACATACATAACGCCCATACATACCAGTTGATTGACAGTTGAGAAGTGGGACAAAAGAGCCAAAGCACAACTAGGAGAGTATAGTATGAGGACGATTTTCTATAGCTTACCCTAAAACACAACCAAAGAAAATCAGACATTCACATTCATGCTTCACATTTATTTTTCATCAATATTACTCAAATATTGCAATAGCAAATTTATACTGTGATTAATTAAAATAATTAATATTTTCCTGTACTAACTTAGACTTTTAATGATTATAATAAAATCAATTGTCAGTTCGCTCTGTTGATTTTGTCAGGTAGAAACGCTAATTCAAACTTCAGCCTTATTCTGTTGACCTGTGTGTGTTGTGTCCTGCGACTTCCTGTGACTTCCTGTGACCTCCTGTGACCTCGGGGCTCCTGCGTAGGGCATGTGAGGACCTAGGATCCGCGACAGATCTACCAGTTTTGAGGAAGATTACACAGGTAAGGTGTGTGAGGACGTGTTTGCCTGAGTGCTGGCTGGCCCCGGGCCGGGCTTGGGCAGTAGAACCCCAGAACCCTCATGCAGGTACAATCCAGGTACTAGGGTCACTACAACCCCCCCCCCCCAACACAACACCTGGCTGGTGAGCCAGATGTTGTGGGGGGGGGGGGTTTATACTGTACAGTGTACTCAATATAATTCCTTCAGACTCCTAACTGCCATGGTTCACTCGGGCAATAACAAGTTATTCCCTCAAGACACGAGGTACTATAGATGGGATTTGTGTATGAAATGGTTACACATGCCACGGTGTACACAGAACTCCCAGACTTGGGGAGTCATGCTGGAGCGTGGACAGTGCCTCCATAGTGCACCACCCTCTCTTTCTCTCACCCTATCCTTCTCTCACCCTCTCTCTTTCTCTCACCCTATCCTTCTCTCGCCCTCTCTCGCCTCCTCCCTCTCGCCCTTTCTCTCGCCTCCTCCCTCTCGCCCCTTAAAGCAGTATCTGTACCCCCCTGAGATGAAACGTTGTTCTCTGAAATGTTATACATTGTCCGGTATGGTATAATTAGGAGTTGTGTTTTGTGGTAAACAGCATATGTTAAGTTATATAGGCTTATAGTTATACTGTACAGTATTTCTCCAACGTTTATTTCAGATCACGATCATGAGGAAGTCAAATTTGGGAACAGGAAGCGTCCAGCGTCCGGGGATCAGGCCACGCGGTGATGACGGTACTCCCATTAACAGGTTGGTGGGGGCATAACATTCTTTTTTTTTTTTATCATTCAGTATTTTACATAATTTCTTGTTCATCTCATCATCATGATTTTGGTAATCTTTATTTAGCAAGTTAGGCCATTTATTTTGACACCCTCTCTGGTGTCCAAGATATTTTTCAGCAATTTGTATTATTTTAATAAAAAAAAAATGCCATTGGTTTGGATTGGTTGTTACAGGGGAGGCCTCACTTCTTGCAGGCCAGTGCTCAATCCCTGAGGGTCCAAGTGCCTAGACACCATTCTCCATATCCCAGCTACTTGTCTTCATATTCCTTTCATGTGCTATAGTCATTCACATACTGTACATAAATACATCTGATTGATACATCTCGTTAATGTGATTTCATTGTGCATTATTAGATTATTATTTTTTGTTAAATAATTTTTGAGGGTGGCTCAATTTTGATCACCTCAATGACACTACATTTTAAAATTTCCAACATATACAGCTACTCCCTTGTTTATTTATAGGCCAAGTGACCTTGCTTACATACAGAAATTGGTGCAATGTATAAACAATAATTTTCACTCTTACATGTACAAGAAGTATCAGCAAAGGATTCAGTGAGTTGACCACATCAATATTCCTCATGCATATACAGAGGGGCATCGATTTACGATGGTAATCTGTTCCTAGAGACATATCGTAAGTCAAAACGATTTTTCCCATAAGAAATAAAGGGAATTGAATTAATACGTTCCACACCCTCAAAAGTATTAACTGAAAAATGCATTTTATACTGAATACAATTTTTTTCTCTAACTACAATACAGTACATATGTTTATCTTACGTTTATGGAGGACTCTTGATGGTGTATACAAGAAGGTGAGGAGGGGGGGGAGGAGGAGAGGTGGTACTGTTTGGAAGGGGAGTTCCCTTCCATTATAACATCAGGCAGTGAAGACTTCTCTGGGGTGCACTCACTGGCACGTTTTGCCTGCATACCACTAGGTCCTGCTTCTGGCTCACTGCTTGATTTTCTCACTAGAAATCGTTCCATTGAAGATTCGTTTTTCCCTTCTTTCCAACACTTGTCTGTAGTGAGGCATCACATTGTCATTAAAAAGATCAGTGCAATGGCCTGTTACAGCTTTATCTGGGTGATTCGTTTCGGCAAAATTTTGCAGTTCTTCCCATACTGCACACATTTTCTTAATTAATAAGGAAGGGATATCCTCTAATGCTGCCGCCGCCTCCTCCTCCTCTGAAGTTTTGTTGTACTGCCTAGCTAGTTCAACAACATGAGTACCATTTTTATGTTTACATATGATCTCTTGTTTTTCCTCTATGGTCATTCTTACATGTGTTTTCACATGTTGAACCTTACCACTGACTTTCTTGGGACCATGGCGTGATATATAATAATCAGTTATATATAATATAACTATTATATCATTTTTGAACTGATATATAATAATCAGTTCAAAAAGCAAAAAAATCATGCAAAAATGGAATTTCTTATAAGCGTGATCGTCACTAAGCTGGCGGCTCTTGTAAACTGAGGCAGGTCGGCCTGTGTGACTGGGAACCACGAGCTCGGTCGACCTGAACGCGTATCAATGAATATCGTTAGTCGACGACTATCATAAGTCGAGTCGCATTTTTCAATCAAATTTATATCGTAACTCGAAATTATCGTAAGTCAAGGTGCCACCGCACTGAGCTGAGCACTACTTCTGATTGTTCTTCTCTTCCCAGTTCTCCTCTAATTATTACACACACTCTGTCATTCATGGACACCTATTTATTTTCATCTTTATTTAACATATGTATACAAAAATTCTAACAATACTGCTGATTTCGTTCTTACAGACTCGGGCGGAAATCCCATCTCCCTAAAGCATTGCAGCCAGACAGTGGTAAGAGAGGAAGCACCAGCAGATTCAAGCGAGGAAGCACAGAAGGCCTTGCCCGTCTCTCCTTGGCATCAATGCGTTACACCCCGAACCGAAACAATATTCCATCCATTAACACTCATGCAGGCCCACCCAGTGGTAGCAGGTTTGTATTCACAGTACTGTATTGCAAAAAACATGTTCAATGTATAACCCCTTCCATGTGACATCACATAGCAATTTATTTTGTTACTCCATTACAGTACTTGAAGTGCTATAAGCATGGCATATTTTGACGAGTGTAGTGCTAAATCAATTGTGAGTGATTCTCCTCATTATTGGGTCTAGCATTGATGATGATAATTGTAAGATTGGAACAATGGTTGAACTGTGTACATCATCATTGTAAAGCTGATAAGTAATACTGCAATAAATACTTTTTATCAGTGCTTGCAACCCATTTATTATATTGATATGCAGTCTGACATTTTTAATATGATTACCGACAACAAGGAGGCAGATATTATTTTCTAGAATTTCCATGAACATTTGATAAAGCTCCTCATTGAAGAGTTTTAAAAATACAAGTATGGAAGATTGTTTACTTGGTTGGAAAATTGGTTATCTGAATGCAGTGGAGAATGTAGTTCAGCCTCGTTATGATGGCTGCCGGTTACAGCTATAAACACTCATAGACCAGACAATCACCAGAGAAGGCTACTATAACAGAAGTATTGAAAATCTTGCACATACTGTATATCCCTTTTCCACCACAGACCTCACCTTTGCATCACTGATGAATTTCTTTAATTTTCCACAATACTCACTTTCCTCCCATACACTTTGTGAACTAATGCTGTGGTAATTCTTTGCTATGATAAAAAAAATTCCAATCACAATACAGTACCACTATTCTATGCCCTTGTAAAATTCTCAAAACCTTCGATATTCTTTTTCTTCTCTAAATTCAATCATTTCTGCATATACCTCAACACCTGCAGCTTTGTCACATTTCAGTTTCTTTGCTGATGTTCCTTCCTCTTTCAGTTATATTGTCTGGCATACCATCTTGCACTTCTCCCACCATCAGAGCCTGTCTCGTACACATGAGCACCTCTTTCATGATTTCCACTCGCCCAACATTATCTTTTATAGCAGCAACATGATCAGCCAAACCTCCAATGTTCTCCTCACTTTTCTCATATCACACACATACTTGAGCACACTTCTCTCAATAAAAACATGCTCTCTTTTTTATACAATTCCATCTTATACTGTTATTTATGTACTGTTTATATCTTTGTGTTAAAATGTGTTGGTAATACTTAGCTTTCTTAATTGTATAAATCTTTTAACCTAGAGCCATTGTCATTTATTCTTGGGACACCATTTTCACTTGTAAATTACATCTAAATTATTTCTGCTTGCAGTAGGATGTCCGTGGACACAGTCCGCTCTAGCATGGGTGGTAAAAGCAGGAAGGAGACCCGACCCCTTGGTGATCCAGCTTTCAAGAATCAATGCATTGATAAGGTTCTTGATTTTCTTGTTCGAAATGGTTACGAGTGCCAGCTTCAGCGACGCAATCTTTACACTCCATCCACCAGAGATTTTGCAAGAATCTTCAATGTAAGTAATGAATGGATCTTGCCTTACGGAACATCAGTGTGTCGTGCTCTGAAAGCGCTTTTCATATTCACTTGGGATAATTTTGCCTTTTCTTCTTTTTCCAGTTTGTATATGTACATCTGGATAGTTCTTACTTGCAGCCCAATAGAGTTGAGGAAGAAATCCCAAGGATTTTGAAGTTACTGAAATATCCTATTCAGATGCCCAAGTCATCGTTTATCACAGGTGAGAGTAACGAATTATTCCTTGCATTACTGTAAATTCTTCCTTTGTTGCTTTTGTACCATCATTGATACTTCCAGTCTCTTACTCCCATGTCACTATGCCATCCACATCCTGCTCCCTTGCTGCCAGACCACCTACTTCTATGTTGCCATGCCTCCTACTCTCACATTGCCAGGCCTCCTACTCCCACATTGCCAGGCCTCCTACTCCCACATTGCCAGGCCTCCTACTCCCACATTGCCAGGCCTCCTACTCCCTCATTGCCAGGCCTCCTACTCCTACATTGCCAGGCCTCTCACACCCACATTGCCAGGCCTCTCGCACCCACATTGCCAGGCCTCCCACTCCCACGTTGCCAGGTGTCCCGCTCCCATGTTGCCAGGTGTCCTGCTCCCATGTTGCCAGGTGTCCCGCTCCCATGTTGCCAGGTGTCCCGCTCCCATGTTGCCAGGTGTCCCACTCCCATGTCACCAGTCCATCCATATCCTGGCACTCGCATATCTCACTCCCACATCGCCAGACCTGAAACTGCCGCGTTGCAACTGCATTCTGTTATTATAAAAGAGTATCAAACTGCATAAAATCTTAAAATGGCTCAAGTATTTGAGCAATTAAATGGCTAGATACAGTGCAGTAATTTTTAAGCAAATTTCACTAGTAAAACATTGTATGGACAAAGAAATCCCATTTAACGTGATGTATCAATGAGAAAATCCGTAGAAGTCACGATGAGGATTCAAACCTGCACACTGGTTAAGGCTTATACTTGGGTGTACCCAGTGTGAAGGTTTGACTCCTCATGGCTTCTACTGATTGTCTCATAACATTGTATATCAGGATCTGTATTATACTGTACTCCCATTGTTCAGTAGGTAACCCACTTAGAACACGTGTTGTTCCCATATTTTATGGTTCCATTTTGACTGGATAACACTAGGTATGCCACTGTTTTATAGGTCATTTCTTAGGAACCACTGGTAATTAAAATCTGATATTACAGGACATGTCAGCAAGCTTAGCTGGTGTCATCTTATTGTCTGGCTTTTGTTTATGCTCGTTTCGTCTGTTGGCCGTGTCTGGACAACTGAGTCTTACCCCATTGTAGGAAACTGCAGTGGCAGTACCATATTCAGTAGGGCATACAAGGTTGTTACTGGGAAAGCTACACATGTATTGGTAACATTTTTGTAATTATACTTTGATAAGCACTTTGAAGTGGGTTACCATTTGTAATGTGAGGTATTCAAGTCTTGCCCTGCCTTCTCGAGGTGACCTTTTTATTACATTTCTTTTTAGGTGGAGCTAAAAAGGAAGTATGGTGCCTTTAAATATTTAAAGATATCTTTCTTTATACATACATATATAAATAAATAATAAATAAATAAATATTTATTCAGGTAAGGTACATACATACAAGGTAAGATACAAAAGTTGATGGATTTATAGATAGAGCTAGTATATACAATGCCTAAAGCCACTATTATGCAAAGCATTTCGGGCAGATATTTTGTTCATTAGTTTTTATTTATCTTAATCTTGGAATAAGCTCCTTCTTTTTTGCATGTATTAAGATATCCCTGGTGTCCAGGGATGTAGCACTGTGTTTGTCGAACAGAAAGACAACCTGATCCTAGTCTCTCCTGAGATACTGCAGTTTGATTTGTCGTGAGCCAGCACCCGTTTAGGTGTGGAGGGAAATTAGGTTTGAGTATTTTAGGCTTCTCTTGGAAGGAGTAGATGCTCTATAGAGTACTCTTGTGTTTGTGTAATGTAAATGGAATAAATGACAAGCAGGAGAGAAGAAATGAAAGTTTGTATAAATTAGGATATACATTCATTAGGTATGTTAGGAGCCTGCACTCAACATTTGACACTGTAAAATGCAGTTGCTTTTCCTAACCAGAAACATTTGAGCCTAGTCAACCCACCTAACCTATCTAGGCCAGTAAAGGCAAAACTTAATATTACAGTGCTTTAAGTTTGACAAAAAATCCAGTTCTGAAGAATTTGTCATATATATATATATATATATACTTAGTAGCCAGAACGCACTTCTCAGCCTACTATGCAAGGCCCGATTTGCCTAATAAGCCAAGTTTTCCTGAATTAATATATTTTCTCTAATTTTTTTCTTATGAAATGATAAAGCTACCCATTTCATTATGTATGAGGTAAATTTTTTTTTATTGGAGTTAAAATTAACGTAGATATATGACCGAACCTAACCAACCCTACCTAACCTAACCTAACGTAACTTTATAGGTTAGGTTAGGTTAGGTAGCCGAAAAAGTTAGGCTAGGTTAGGTAGGTTAGGTTAGGTTACTCTTGTACCTGCCCTGACAGGTACAAGAGGAGTGTTGTTAACGCATACGTCGACCGTGCTCTCAGCCACAGCTCAGAATGGAAGCATGTCGACGAAGAACTCTGTAGGGTAAGGCAGGTCCTAGTCAATAACGGCTTCTCCAATGGTTTCATCGAAGACATCATAAGAAGGAAAGTGAAAAGCCATGCAACCTCTGAAGAGACAACTAACACAACACCTATACCCCCTATTAGACTATTTTACAGGAACTTCTTTTCCACAGCTCATAAAACGGAGGAAAGGGTCCTGAAAGATATTGTTAATAGAAACGTTATCCCTACAGACAAAAATCAGAGGATACAACTGACGATTTACTATAAAACCAGAAAAACGGCCAGCCTACTCATGAGAAACTCTCCAGACACAAAACAGAACGCTTTAAAAGAGACTAACGTCGTCTATGCCTTCAAATGCCCACTTGGGGACTGTAAGCTCCAAAAAACCCAGTATATAGGCAAGACAACAACATCTCTTTCTAGGCGTTTAACGATGCATAAGCAACAGGGCTCCATTAAGGAACATATAATCTCTTCCCATAACCAAACCATCGCCAGAGAAATCCTAGTAAACAACACAGAAATCATCGATAGATACAGCGATAGCAGGCGGCTTGACGTTTGCGAGGCACTACACATCAAGAAGTCAACACCAGCAATCAACAGCCAATTATTGCACAACTATATTCTACCCACCTCAAGACTCCGCTCCAATATAGAAGCATCAAGAAATATGGACCAATAGGCTTTCTACAAACACTTCTATTCAATACCCATTGTTTCTGTTCTGTCTTGTGTTGATACTTTTAATACCCTATTAATATCCCCTCCTGTTCTGTCTTGTGTTAATGCCACATCACCCTTCCCACCTCACTCAAATGTAGATATAAAATCAGAGATACGTTCTAATCAGTTGTGTATTTGTGAAGTCTTTGAAAATGTAATAAGTTTTACGAAACGCGCCCGTGTCGCGTCAGACTAGAAATAAAAATGAATTTTGGAGAAGTGATTTTTGATTTACCTCCAACAGTGAAGCATAATGTACGAAAGATTGAGAAAATTCGTGTTAGAATTATTAATCTTACTTTTTCGGTCATATTTAATAATATATGTCTACAGGAAAGACTGCTACCAACATATATATATATATATATATATATATATATATATATACATATACATATATATATATATATATATATATATATATATATATATATATATATATATATATATATATATATATATATGCGAACAAGCCTGAATGGTCCCCAGGACATATGCAACTGAAAACTCACACCCCAGAAGTGACTCGAACCCATACTCCCAGAAGCAACGCATCTGGTATGTACAAGACGCCTTAATCCACTTGACCATCACGACCGGACATAATGAGGTGATAGCCGAGGCTATATGAACCACCCCACCGCCGGCACTCGGATAGTTATCTTGGGCATAGCATTTTACCAAATCACCTCATTCTTTGGGGCACACGTGAGGAACACAAATGCGAACAAGCCTGAATGGTCCCCAGGACATATGCAACTGAAAACTCACACCCCAGAAGTGACTCGAACCCATACTCCCAGAAGCAACGCATCTGGTATGTACAAGACGCCTTAATCCACTTGACCATCACGACCGGACATAATGAGGTGATAGCCGAGGCTATATGAACCACCCCACCGCCGGCACTCGGATAGTTATCTTGGGCATAGCATTTTACCAAATCACCTCATTCTTTGGGGCACACGTGAGGAACACAAATGCGAACAAGCCTGAATGGTCCCCAGGACATATGCAACTGAAAACTCACACCCCAGAAGTGACTCGAACCCATACTCCCAGAAGCAACGCATCTGGTATGTACAAGACGCCTTAATCCACTTGACCATCACGACCGGACATAATGAGGTGATAGCCGAGGCTATATGAACCACCCCACCGCCGGCACTCGGATAGTTATCTTGGGCATAGCATTTTACCAAATCACCTCATTCTTTGGGGCACACGTGAGGAACACAAATGCGAACAAGCCTGAATGGTCCCCAGGACATATGCAACTGAAAACTCACACCCCAGAAGTGACTCGAACCCATACTCCCAGAGTATGGGTTCGGAAGGACCATTCAGGCTTGTTCGCATTTGTGTTCCTCACGTGTGCCCCAAAGAATGAGGTGATTTGGTAAAATGCTATGCCCAAGATAACTATCCGAGTGCCGGCGGTGGGGTGGTTCATATAGCCTCGGCTATCACCTCATTATGTCCGGTCGTGATGGTCAAGTGGATTAAGGCGTCTTGTACATACCAGATGCGTTGCTTCTGGGAGTATGGGTTCGAGTCACTTCTGGGGTGTGAGTTTTCAGTTATATATATATATATATATATATATATATATATATATATATATATATATATATATATATGTCGTACCTAGTAGCCAGAACGCACTTCTCAGCCTACTATGCAAGGCCCGATTTGGCTAATAAGCCAAGTTTTCATGAATTAATTGTTTTTCGACTACCTAACCTACCTAACCTAACCTAACCTAGCTTTTTCGGCTACCTAACCTAACCTAACCCATAAAGATAGGTTAGGTTAGGTTAGGTAGGGTTGGTTAGGTTCGGTCATATATCTACGTTAATTTTAACTCCAATAAAAAAAATTGACCTCATACATAATGAAATGGGTAGCTTTATCATTTCATAAGAACAAAATTTGAGAAAATATATTAATTCAGGAAAACTTGGCTTATTAGGCAAATCGGGCCCTGAATTGTAGGCTGAGAAGTGCGTTCTGGCTACTAGGTACGACATATATATATATATATATATATATATATATATATATATATATATATATATATTAATATACTAATAATAATAATAATGAAGTGATATTGTTGCAGTTGGCTCCCCACATACGTGGCCATCAGTGTTGGCCATGTTAGCGTGGCTTGTGGACATAGTGAACATGATGGATGCCTTTGACCCTGTTACCTGTGCATTTCCAAGTGATTTTGAATCGGACATCAACATAACCCAAGTTAAATTTTCAACATGTGTGAATCTTTCCAAAAATGAATGCGACACTGAGAAAATTGAGGCTGCCTTAGAGGTATGTATGGTTTAATGTTTTTGTTAATATGTTTAAAATTCCTTTCTATGCTGCCTCTATCTCCCTGTTGTAACTCTAGTGAACTTAATGTTTTCCTTTTATTGAACATATGGGCTAGGTGAAAGAAGTTGAAGATTGTAGTTAATTTACTGAAGGAATTGGTTATAAGCCAAAGATTAGGGTTTTGAGTAAGCCAGGTGGAAGAAGAACAGTGTTCTATTCATTATATATATATAACAGTAAGACTTGGAAGGAAAGTTAGTTTATTTAACAGATATACTAACTAACTACAGGTCGTGTTTATTTCAAGAACTCTTCTTGAACGGTTAATTAATTACTTAAAATGCCAGGGACCTGGAAGCCTTGTGAGAATTGCACACACATTTCTGTTAGCATTGGCCTTCTCTAGTGAGAGGATTATGTAGTACTGTATCTGCTGCCTCTTTCATTATCAATAGCAAACTCTTGTCTTGGTACTACTGCTTTGTTTTTCTCTAATTCTTCCAGGCATTTCTTTATCTCCTCAATTACTATTATATTTTCCATGATGGTTTCCTCCTATACATAAGCTCTTGTACCATCCCTCCACAGGCTCAACCCATAAAGCTTGAAATTTTGTGTTTATTTCTGTGAGGTTACTGTATTTTCAATAATATGATTCCCTATTGTTGATTTTCTTATATGGCTGTGTAGTAACCTTGGTTACATATTGGCTATAGCTACTTACATTTTCAGACAGTGTCTGCTTCTGAATTTAGTGTACTTCTTTATGATTGTTTAAAATTACTTTGCTTGGACCACATCTGTGTGCAATAATGCCTGAGCATCCCTCAGACAATACCAAAGTAACATATTCATCCCTAGCTTAACACTGCTGTATGTATGACATGCTTCACAATTATGGCTGCCTAACATATGCTGTCATATTCAAAGGACATTCATAGGAGCTCAAGAGGATGCTCGAAACAAATTTGCATGCTTATTATATTTCCAACATGTGTTGGAAAATATAGCACATAAATGTGCCCGATCACGTGACCAACACTCATAAGGGTCTTTGCTCAAACAGCCACCAACTTGGGCTGTGGACTGTTGGGATCGAACTGCCTTTTCAGTAGACTCAACACATTTAAATCAGTTTGGTCAGTTTGAAACTCGTCCAGTCTCTACTCGGCCTGTCCTCTTAAGGTTACCAAATGTCAAGAAAATGGTCGATTTAGAGTGTCCTCTCCAAACTTACCAGAGGACCCAAAACAGAACGTTTTGGGCCGCTTCCATTTTCTAGTACGACAACTTATGCCTTGTGTAACTCATACGAGCAAAAGGCAATGTTCTTTGTTGGAGGACAGGTTGCTCTACTGGGGCTACCCTTTGGGTACCATGAATGTAATTTGTGTACACACCACCTCACAAAGTATGTATTTGCATAGAAATCGACTTGCATTCAAATGAGTGCTTCATCCGCCGTAGTTGAATGGGGCCCACTACTGCCATAATCCATCTCTACCACTGACTTCTCAACACACCACTGCGGGAGTCGATTAATGGAGGAGCCAGAACTTTGGGACGACCAGCCACATGATTCTGTAGAGCAGCAGAGCTCGCTTCTCAACCCAAGGGAATTCTCATGAGAATGATTCTGTGATTCAAATCACAAGGTGAGACCACAGGGGCGCCTGAGTGCCCCTGTGGTCTCACCTATATAACACAGATGATCTCACTATATAACACAGATGATCATACACTATATAACACAGATGTCACTATATAATGCAGAGATGATTGGTAAGTACTTTAGGTGTATTGAAACATTAATTTTGCAATGAATCTGAACACTTGTCAACAGGAGTTCCGGCACGCACTGGAGCTTGTAGAGGGCGTACGACCGCAAGATATGGTGCATCATCAAGAAGAATTTGAGGAGCTAGAAAGGATGATGGACACTCTCAATAGTGGACCAGAGAGGCTTAAACAACTGCAGTTCCAGTGCAGTCAGGTATGTTTGTTTCCTCTGCTTGGTGATGTGACCAGTAATGAAGATTTTGTACTAGATCTTTTAAAATCATTAGTGGCAGTAGAACTAGGCTCCAAGAGTGCCAGTTAGGCTAGGAATACTGTTAAAAATGAGACAGAATTGTGAGACACATAAATCAAAATGGCTTCTATTTAACCAGTACTGTATATAGTGCTTACATATATGGAGTATCCTGCTATGCCAGTAATTTAGTCAGTAATGATTAATGATAAGAGTAACATAAATGAACAGATTTTGTATACCAAAATCAGCATGGCTATTGCTTCAGTAGAAAACACTGAAAAATTCCAACTAGATTACAACAGAAAGTAACTTGATGTTCAATAGAATAACAAATTCCAACTTCTTAAGTAAAGAGGAAATAGACTTCAAATTGGGGACATCAGCCATGGGTCATGCGGGGCTCATCAGCTATGGGTTGGATGGAGGTCAACAGCGAAGGATTGGCTGTTGAGGCTTGTTGGCCATGGGACTCATCAAACGATTGGTTGCGTGGGGCTGGTTGGCCACGGGTCATGTGGGGCTCGTCGGCAGTGGGTTTTTTCTTTGGATATTGACTTTTGTCTTGTCATTGACTACTATTTAGCTGTAATCCTATAACTAGAAAAGTAAGAAGAAAATGTGGTTCAAGTGCAGGGATGCCAAGTTTATGTGTATGTGTAAAGACACCCATGTATTTTGTCTCAGATCAAAAATGACCTGGAGAAGATGAATGAATATTGCCGAGAGATGCAGGTCTATATGTCCAGCAAAGACAGTGAACAAACTCAGCTGGAAGACAAACTCTCTGAATTAAATTCCAGAAATATGCAAGTAAGTTTTTCAAGGTTTATATATAAGTTCTTTACTGAATAAAAAATAAATTATATTATACTGTAATACCTCTGTGTATTATTTGTCTTGAGTTTTGTCGATTTCCATATATACATCAGATCTCTTTCTCTCTCTAATTGCCAAAGTTATTCTTAATGTTACGCATGCATGAAAAACTGAACATAGTGTAATCTATCAGTGATACTGTATACTATTTTAAGTCATTGAATAAAATTATGATATTTAGTAATGAGAAAATATACAAGTAAGGAAGAAATTAGTAACTGGCCACGTACTGTACCGAGTATGAAAAGCTGCTTGAACTTGTATGTTAGGATAGTTGTTGCCTGTCAGTGACACATAGCTCTTTTGGCCCCACCTTCTAGTCTTGTCTATCTTCTCTGCTTAGTGCTTCTCATTACATTTAAGTTTGTATAATTTCTTAGTTTGAGGATGGAAGTAGTTTTGATAACTTCTTTCAATTCATTCCACTTGTACAGGGTTTGCGGATTTACTTGTATTGCTATGAATGATTTGCATAATCTATTGATGTTCGTTTGTTCTCTCTCCTTTTTAATTTAAGTAACATGAGAATAAAGGACACTGTTGAAGCTCCAGTGGCATAAAAAAAGGCAGCTCCTATTTATATCCATCTAAACAAATTCATATGTATGTCTACCTGTTGTTGGTTCCAGGGATCAATGTCCCTTTGGCCCTATTCCTGATCAGGCTTCTTGATTGCTGGTCTGGTCAATCAGACTGTTAGACACAGCTACTTGCAGCCTTATGTGTGAAATACAGCCTGGCAGATCAGGTATCTTTTGGAAGTATTTATCCAGTTCTTTCCTGAATACTGCACTTGAAATGATCCGGCTATCTAATGTACGGTATATTCTGATGCTATAATTTGTTCCATAAATCAACTGCCTTATTTCCAAAGCAGTATTTACTCAAGCTTTTCCTGAATCTAAACTTCTGTTCATTGTTATTCATTCTATTTTGTGTTGATACAGGTATATTTAAAACCTTATTTATATCCTCTCTCTTGTACCCTGTCATCCATTGATATGCTTCAATCATGGCACCCCTTAATCTTCATCTCTAGTGAATATAAACTTAGTTTTTAACAACATAATATGGGAGGTTTCTAGTTCCTGGGATTAACTTTTTCATCCTTTTCTGTATGCATTCTAGTGAATTTATATCTATTCTACAGTACAGAAACGAAAGCTAAACTGCATAAATCGGGCGTAACGAGGTCACGATGAAGCTGAAGAATAATATTTTAATGCTATACTGTATTGCTAACTCTTCATCTATCTCAATCCTGTTGCTAGCTTAATTGCAAATCTCTGTACAGTACTTCATTAGAGTATGGGTATTGTGGGGTCTGCCTCAGCCAAGTGGCTAATTGAAAGTTTTTGCCCAGACAGTCCTTGAAAACATGGGACTGATGAACATGGAGGCTCTACCCAAATCTCCAGGCCTAACAAACTCGTACTTTCTTAGATAAAACCCGAGTGAATTTCATATGAAGCTCTTGATATATGGAAAATGTATTGACCTGAACCCTTCTCTATATGTAAATTGATGAAATGCTGAATGGACTATGAGACTGTTGTTGTTGATCTACCCTAGTGATTATGGAAGTGAAGGTTCACATAGTACAGTAAGTGGTGAAGTCTTTTTCTCAGTGTTTATATGGTGTAGTTTTTGGTGTAACAAGGCTTTGTAGATGGCGAATGTGAATGCACCTGGTTTAGGAGCTCTGTACTTCATGTAGGTGAAAAGTCTGAGACTTGTTCAGTCCTGATGTTTATGTTTACACACAGTCATTCTGTTGTAATGTCTTTTGAAAGTTTGTATATATATTAAATTAAATGATTTTCTTGTAGATCAAAGAGCAGATAGCAAGCCTTGAGATTCTGCAAGCTCAACAAGCTTTAAGTGCTGAAGCCTTGGCACGGTTTAAAAATCATGCTAATGATGTGGCTGCGATGATTGCTCAACTTCAAAACGAAATCAAGGATTTAGACTCCCAGGTGAGTTACTTAATACAAGTAGTGACACATACCATTCATTTTTTGTGTCCTTAGTAGGTAATTTTTTATGATTATTTTTACAGGATTTATTTTTCCTTGGCACAACCTGGAGAACACCTTTGTATATTAACTTTGAAACTTTTAACACTCTGGTATGATGGTAAGTGAAATGTCCCTTTTAGTATTGGGCTGGATAGTTCCTTGGTAGCTGATTTTAGAGCCAGTCCTAACTTTACAGGATTGGAAAGTGGGTAAACGGGTGTAGCAGTGTCTGTACTATTATTAAGTGTATCCTCAGAAAGATGCTCCCAGTAGTCATAATTCTTTAACTGTTCAACATTTGTGCAACACCAAGAAAATCATTACATGGTCAAACTGTATGGAAAATTATGAAAGAAACCATGTGTGTATTTAGTGTGATGAAGTATAGACTCCACTAGGAGTGAGGAGCTTAGCTGGTGGGAGTTCGTACCTTAAGCAATATATATATCACTGATACATTAAGTGAAGAATTAAGATGTCCTGTTTACTGGTTTTCTTTTAGTCACTACACAACTGATTCTTACAAACAGCTTTAGTAGTGAATACCACTTTGTTGTAATGATGCAGTCAGTTTAATGTGTGCGAACATTTATCTAATGAGTATATGGCTAATATTAAATTAGCCATATACTGTACCTCTGACACTCTGCACTCTCTTGGGAGCTCTACATTAGGGGGTGGCTACAGCAGAAGTTCCTGCAGGATGCTCTTATCACCACACAAATCTTATACTCTCAAGCTCTCCAACTCTTCTTCCTTCCCCAATCTCTCATTCGTTGTTCCACTTTTCCCTTCCAAGATAATAGGATGATTTTCCCATTTTCAATAAAGCATCAGCAAAGCTATAGAGGCAGGTAATCGTACCCAATTCCACGTATACTGTACTTTGTTTTTTAGTTTTAAAATGCATTACAGCTTTAAATGCATAACTTGTATCTGAATGAATTTTAGCACATGTTAATTCAGATTAGTAAAGTTGCTCTGTAGAATGTATCATTATTTACAAACTGTGATTCTCTGTTGACATTGGAGGCATGGCAATGCCTTTCTTGTTGGCCTGTCATCTACACATTAATTTTACTTAACTTGTTTTTCAGGTATGGGGTCTGGAGATGGAGACTGGAAAATTGCAAAAAACATTGTGTGATTCTGTGTGTTCATTTAACACCCTCATTCGCCAGCTTGAACTTCCTAGTGACTGTGAAATTTCCTCGGCCAATGTCAGTGGCAACTTGCATCACTGGCAAAATACTCTACTGAATGAGCTGCGAGTTAGAAAAAAGAATGCTAAACAAGATACATACCTTGTTCAAACCCAGAAGAGAGAAAAAGAAGGGGAAGTTGATACGGCAAGTTATCCAAGGTTTTGTTTTGTTTATGGATAACAGATATATATGCGTGTATATATATATCTATCTCAACTGGAACCTTGTATATTCTTTTTAATTCATTTCCTGTCAAGGACATTTATTTTGTTTTCCTGCAATTTCATGTCAGTTTTTTGTTTTGGATTGACAAGCTCCCCTAATCTTCATTAACAAACCATACTCTGATCCCGGTTTCCAGTAGGCTTGTGTAAATCCATGGACCTGGTCGCATTCGTAGGTATCAATGGTATCGGAGCCTTAGGCATCAATCAGGGAGCTACTGAGAGTTGCTCAGATAGAAATGTTGTGTTATATTAAATGCTTGATTGTAACCATTTTCAGTGATAAATGATTCCACGTAAGCATTACTAGTAATTTTTAAAGTATGGCTCTCCTAATTTGCTTTAATATACTTTTTAAGCTGATTTATGTAGGAAATTGTGATTGAGCTAAATTATTTCCTGTTAAGTTGGCCTTGCTTATATATTATGGGTTCTGTAGTACAGTAGTATATATTCTCAACTCCCAGTCGTGGTACTAGCTATGGATCCCAATTGGGACAGCTTTGGCAGTGCAGAAATGGTTGGTCATGTTTTTCACCTAGTGCCTCTGTTCACCTAGCAGTAAATATATAAGGCAAGTTAGGGAACTGAGGTGGGATTGCGTACAAGATTGATAAAAGCCTAAAGTGTGTAAATACACAGCTTTCCTGTGCCAGATGAAGAGAATTATTATATCTCACTCATGCTCTTATTTCACAGATAAGAGAGATGTTCCAAGATAAGGCCGATCAAACAAGCAAGCTGGAGAACAAACTCCGGCGTGTAGAAGAAAATATATTGCTAACTAAAACTGAAATTGCTGAACAGGTACGATAATTGCATATTTTTTCTCCGTGAATGTTGTTTTCTTACCTTTGTTGCATATCATCTTATTTAATTTAACTTTTGATAGTTAATACATGAAGCTTGTCAATGATGAGAGGTAAAAGGTACGAGAGGCATCATGGCCGGGCGTGGTGTTGGTGGTTGTCAGCCTCGGGAGCGAGCAAGACTCTGGCTAAGACTTGCCAGTGCTCTGCCAATACCTGTGGGACATTACAGTAGCTCAAGACAAGTATGTGACCAGAATATGTCAATGTACCTTGAACTGAAGCTTACAGTTAGGTTAGATTTTCAAGTTTTTTTTTTATAGAGGATTATGGCTTCATGAGACTCTGATTAAAAAAAAAATTTGAAAGTCTCCTAACACACTATTCCAGGTTGTGCAAGACAAGTGTTTTGTACAGTTTGGAAAGATAATCACTGAAGCTTCCATCACCTGCTCGGTATCAGTTGTCTCATTGACTTGTAATTAACTCTGAGACAAGTTACATATTTCTACAGTTTCGAAGACCTGTCGTAGTGATAAAAAGTTCTGCCCATAAGTCCACTATTATTTATGTGAAAAACTTAAATTGTGTTTGTTATTAATTTCATTTTAATATAGAGTTTCAGAAATATAATTTGTTCTACCCAGATAGAAATATTGATGACATTTTTTGGTAGGTAGACTACTTTTACAGAATTTTGGCATTTTTGTTTGTAATTCTTTAAAGTTTCATATAAATTTAAGTGTTTGTTTGTTGATGGCAGTATGGTAGAAGGTTATGAAAGAATACATTGGCTGGTGCACTCTTTACATTGAAAGAACATAAGTTAGTAACTTGTAAGTTATGACAATTAGTTATCTTGGAAGAAAATGCTGTTGTGTGGGACATTCACTTTAGTACAGTATCTCATAGTGTTTCATTGGCCAGGACAAGTAAGGTGATAGCCAGTAGCAATCAGTCTGATAATTAAACAATGTAATGTCGGTAATGGGAGCTTTATGAAGTAATGTTTAATGCATTTTGAATGCATTTGCATTAAATTGGCATAAGCTAGTTTAGCATGGCTAAGTTTTCCACCATTAAAATCTTTGGCATCTTTGTTCAACACCAGTAAGAGCAGTGGAATATTAACAGGAGTAAACACAAACCAGAAAAACTATACTGTATATTAAATGTTAAATATTCCCTAACATTGTGATGGCAGCATGAAGTGCTTATGGTATATATTGGAATTGCTCATAAAAGCTTGACCCATAATTGTCATATGAAGTGACATAATTGTGGCATCCTTGCAATGTCACACGTAAGGTTGAATTCTGTACATCAAGATGACATGTCCAAACTAATCTTTATCTCAGTTCATCTCTGATGTAAATTTTCTTTTAATAATACATTACCCACTAGTTTTTTTTTTTCTATTCCACAATTTTTTTTTTTTTTTTTTTTTTTTTTTTTCTGGGTAGCATTCAAAATCATAACATGATTTGGTAGTATATAGGGAACCCTGTTACAATACACGATACTTGAGTAGTGTCAAAGGTCTGAGTTTCTACTCCCCAGGAGCGAGAGATGAACCATGAGAATGAATGGCAGCTCCACGAGATCACTGAAGCACGCAAGGCTCGTAAAGGCTCCCTTTTTCAAAAACAATTTGCCCTTGAAGAGGCGAAAAAAGTGTAAGTTGCTAAATAATGAAATATTTTGTGTTAGATTCAGAATTGGGAGTGTAATACTGTATACGTATTACGGGTTTAGGTGTACACTGGTACTCTCTTCCAGTGAGGTATATTGCAGTAAGAGCAACTTGCTGGGAGTGGGCACCAGGGTGGGCCTCGCTGGGAGAGGGCTCCAGGGTGGGCCTCGTTGGGAGAAGGCACCAGGGTGGGCCTCGCTGGGAGAAGGCACCAGGGTGGGCCTCGCCGGGAGAGGGCACCAGGGTGGGCCTCGCCGGGAGAGGGCTCAGGGTGGGCCTCGCTGGGAGAGCGCGCCAGGGTGGGCCTCGCCGGGAGAGGGCACCAGGGTGGGCCTCGCCGGGAGAGGGCGCCAGGGTGGGCCTCGCCGGGAGAGGGCACCAGGGTGGACTGCACTGGGAGAGAGGGCTCCAGGGTAAGCCTTTCCAGGAGTGGGCAGCAGCGTAAGTCTGTGGACTTCTTTTTGATTCTTTTGTTTGTGATGCTTGGTTGATTTGGAATGGGGGCTCATCATTTGTTGCATCAAGTGGTGATGATTCATCACTTCCTGCATGCCATGGACTCTGCTTTAGTGGACACTTAATGGGTTGATCCAGTCTCCATGATTCCCAGTTCCAAGGCTCGTATTTCTCAAGTTTTCCAGTGTCGTTCAGACTAGCCAACCTACAGTCTAACCCCAGGCCCCTGATATTCGCCAGTGTGCTGTACTTGTGGCAGTCTTTTCTAATATGCCTTGGCCGGATATTCAGGCTTGGGGATTTTTTTGTTGGGAGGGGGGGGGATGGTTTGTTTGGGGAGCTATTTGGCAGTTTTGAGGCTTTGAGTCTTGTGAACCCAGCAGTTGTCTGTAAGGCTTTGCTGACTTTTTAGATGCTTTCCCAGTAAAATGGTGGTACTTGCTCTCTCTGCCTCTTTGATGGGGGGACCAGGTTCTGACTCTGGTTCCTAGTAGGCCAAACTGCACTCCTGCAACTGATATGACTTGTAGTATATAGCCGCTGGGGCTGGACCAGAAAGAGACGTTTCATTACATTCAACAAAGGTTTTTACTTTAAATATTCATTGTCTTGTGTATAGTGCATGAATGTTATGGAGGTGTTTCTTGTAAGAATTTATTTATAATGTGCAGATTAAACCACTCGCCATAAGATAAGGAGACGACGACGTTTCGGTCTGTCCTGGACCATTATCAAGTCGGGGGAGCGAGGCATGCCCATTCCTCCCTCGCTCCCATCACCATTGACTTGATAGTGGTCCAGAACGGACCGAAGCATCGTCGTCTCCTCATCTTCTGGTGTGTGGTTTAGTTATCATATCTTCAGCCATGTTATTGTGACTCATTGTCTGCATATAATATGCTTTTAAATGAATGAAATTGGTGTGCTCGATTAATGGAACATTTAGTGTTGATATTTTCCTGAAATTTAATTAATCCTTTAATTTGCACTTGTAAACCATTGATTGCTAATCAAATTACTCTTAAACAGGTTTAAAGAGACACAGACTCGTGTGAAGGACCACACAATTGCGGGGACGCAGTTCCTGGTGCACGTGGGACATATTGCCCTGGAGAACTGGGGATACGAGCAGCGTGAAGCTGCCAAGTTTAAAGTCGAAGTGGAGAAAATCTGCTTTGAGCTCACAAACTAGTTATCTAGTTTTACAAATTTATTAATCCTCATGTAAGAAATAGTTTATTAGTTCCCATCGAAAAATAAATATTTCCAGTACCAACATTTATAACTCCATTGTGAAATTTTATTTTATTTTATAGTACTGCATAGGCTCTTTGTATTAATTCTGCAATATACTGTATATCCATTGTTTGACATTTATAGTTTATTTAGTATAAATATATAATATTGCTGTTTTTATGAGTACAGTATATTTTCTCTAGATCCTGAAACACTTCTTCATTATATACTTTTAGGGCATTTATCTTTGTATGAAATATAACCTTTAGAGTTCATATATTATTACGTAGCTAATATTGACATATTGGCGGTCATCTGTATCAATGGCATGCATTTTTATATTTACACTAGCTATACAAATTAAATATATTTTTTTACTATAAAGTATTTTCATTACTAAGCCCCAATAAACTTTTGATATACTGAGTGGTTTATCTTGAGCATTACTACACGTCACTACCACTTACAACAGGCCAAGATATTAACGTATCACTAGTACAGATAGCTTGTGTTCAACTCTTTTGTGAACTTCCATAATCATCCTGTTAGCAGTACTTTTACTGTGCACCACGCACTCATCTTGTGAACAGTACTGTACGTTAATTGTGCACTCTGCACTCATCCTGTGAGCAGTAAAGGAACCATAATAAAGTATTTTTGTGCTTCCTTTACTCATCATCAGTGCTTTCAATAATCTTGTACTAATCTTAGAGGATAGCTAACACTTCAACCTTAACTTGTAAGTTGATTGGTCAATTGTTGACTAGCATTCGTCTCGGTTATGTAGCTGTTGGGATGACGTACAGTAACACAAGAATATAAGAAGAAATTGAAGGCCAATTGGTGTCTTGTGCACTGCCAGCAGGTAGGAGGGAGTAGTTTTGTTGCTCTCTCCTGGCTTGCTGTGGCGGTGCCCAAGATAAATATGTCCCTGTATGTTGGTTGTGTATGGAGAACCATGAACGCCCTTATGTTCCTTCATCTGGGAGTTAAGCCTACCCAATGGTAGCGTCTCCTAGGGAAAGCGGGGGGGGGGGGGGGGGCAATGCACGCACTTTGGTGAAGAGACTGGGATAAAGCTGGTGGTTCAGTGCAGCTCATCTGGTTAGCCCCCACCTAGTTAGACATCAGGTAAATTGGGCATTGTAGGGTTGTGTAATAACATTGCTCTTTCCTGACTGCAGTTGCATGTAACATCACCAATGTGCGTATGGCAGACGCTTCACAAAGCTGTGGGGCTCTAGCAACACGAGAGGAAGTGTACAGGGCCTGGGTGCACAGTCAAGTGGGAGTCCTGGGTGGTCTCTCAGACTTGCTTTGCCGGGTCCTGATCCACATTGGTTGTGTGAATCTCCTCAATGCAATAGAAGCAGTTTAAGGGACTTCTTGGGTCCTCATTACATTTATAGAATAGTGATTAATAGGCAGTTTGGTGTTGAAGACATCATGGCTGAAGGCTTGAGTGCGAGTAGTGGTTCAAATGAAACACCGCATAGAGCTTAACAGTAGTTTTTTATAACTTGACCACTAATACATTGGGTGCTTAATTTATTCTAGATTGGTGCTGGCAAAGCTATTATTGTATTGGCAAGACTTAACATCTAATCGATTTCGGTCCGCTTGTGAACAAACCCTAACAATATGGCTCACAACTAGTCACTAGCACATCATGCTTGACGATGCCGGTGTGCAAAGGGACAGGAGCTCCAAACAGAATCGCAATAATCATGCACAATATATCAACAATGGCACTGTCAGTAGGACAGACAATAATTACAGCACACAATAACTAAATGTGTGGTATTTGTGAAGCTCGCATTCACTGACAGGTGTAATGTCTTGACTCCACACAGATAAACATGTATACACCGTCGGGTGTGTCTAGGTTTCCATTTGTACCCGTTTTAGGTGTTGTGAAGATGAGAACTCTGGTTGACCACTCGGATCAATACGGGTACATCTAGGTGAGTACAGAAACTTTAATAATAAAACAAGCTCTTGTACTTAGACAAGCTCTTGACGTTCACTCATGCAAGCAAACTCTTAGGTGGTCTGACAGCTGGTCTCAAGCTCGTTAACGACGTGAGGACACAATAGGATGACAGGCTTTCCCGCCACTATTTGACCCGGTGGGGTAGTGGCAGGAGAGGTGCTGTTTACACTGATCGTAGGTGGTATCTTATGTAGACACACAGGTAAACAGACAGTAGGGTAGTTGACAAAGGGAATGCATTTGGCAGTGCTGTGGTGGAGGCAAACTACACAGTTTTAAATGCAGATATGATAGAGCCCAATAGGCTCAGGAATCTGTACACCAGTTGAGAGGTGGGACCAAAGTGCCAAGGCTCAGCCCCTGCAGATACAGTTAGGTGTGTACAGACTCGCCCTTAAAATTGCGTTGGGCACATGAGGTTTGGGGTGGGCAGCAACGTCACGTGGTACAATGAGGGATGCGCGGGCGGCAACATCACGTGGTACAATGAGGGAGGCGCAGGTGGCAACGTCACGTACAAATCCACAAGGGCCGTGACGAGGATTTGAACCTACGCCCGAGAGCATCCCAGATGCTGCCTTAATCGACTGAGCTACGACATCGTCAATAAGAGTTGAAACCAGAAGTTCTACTGAACTTACTTGGATCCTGCAGCCTCTCCGAGACAAACCAGGGTTTTACACAACTCCCCCATGCACTTGAGCTATGTCAATAGGCCGTTCTACCTCTTCGCCCTTACTTCATTACACACAGAAATCACAATAGCATGAAGCATCAAATGAACAGCAACAGTCAGATGAACGGAGTCAACAGTCTCAGTGGTGTAGTGGTAAGACACTCGCCTGGCGTTCCGCGAGCGCTATGTCATGGGTTCGTATCCTGGCCGGGGAGGATTTACTGGGCGCAATTTCTTAACTGTAGCCTCTGTTTAACGCAACAGTAAAATGTGTACTTGGATGAAAAAACGATTCTTCGCGGCGGGGGATCGTATTCCAGGGACCTGCCCGAAACGCTACGCGTACTAGTGGCTGTACAAGAATGTAACAACTCTTGTATATATCTCAAAAAAAAAAAAAAAAAAAAAAAAAAAAAAAAAAAAAAAATCCTCAAGGACCGTGACGAGGTTTGTGGCACAACACAGACACAAACGTGGCACAACACACACACACAAACTCTGGTTTGTGTCTCAGAGAGGCTGTAGAATCTAAGTAAGTTCAGTAGATCTTTTGGTTTTCAGCTCTTTTTGACCATGTCGTAGCTCAGTCGATTAAGGCACCTCTGGGATACTCTCGGACGTAGGTTCGAATTCTCGTCATGGCCCTTGTGGATTTGCTCATTTGATGCATCACGCTATTATGATTTCTGTGTGTATTTTTTTTATTATTATTTTCTACCACAGACGTGGCCACACATTTACAATGCTAATCAGCACATATACATTTTCTTTTGTCCTCCATGGACAGGGTGAGAGATTTGTCAAACATATAGTTCAGGGATTTGTTGAACAATCAACCACAGGTGATTGTATTGCTTTTAAAATGCTAGGCTAAGCTACATACGTAAATACATAGATACACAGATTTATGTATGCTACATAAAGTGTTCGATGTGTCTTTTACATAGTGTCATTAATGTGCATTTACAAAGGTGAAATGTAATTCTGATCAGCTTCCACATATACTTTATACACATACATAGTGTGTGTAAGTTACGTGGTACAGTAAGGGAGGCGCGGGCGGCAACGTCACGGTACAGTGAAGGAGGCGCGGGCGGCAACGTCACGGTACAGTGAGGGAGGCGCGGGCGGCAACGTCACGGTACAGTGAGGGAGGCGCGGGCGGCAACGTCACGGTACAGTGAGGGAGGCGCGGGCGGCAACGTCACGGTACAGTGAGGGAGGCGCGGGCGGCAACGTCACGGTACAGTGAGGGAGGCGCGGGCGGCAACGTCACGGTACAGTGAGGGAGGCGCGGGCGGCAACGTCACGGTACAGTGAGGGAGGCGCGGGCAGCAACGTCACGGTACAGTGAGAGAGGCGCGGGCGGCAGGACGTGGGACACGTGGGAGTTACTTTACCCCAGGGAGGCAGTGTTGCCAGATTGGGCTACAAATAGCGAATTGGGCTACTTTTGTGAGCCCCGCGCTCCCAAATTTTTAATTTCGCTACTTGCTACTTTTTGGGCTAATTTAAAATCAAGTTGTGCTAATTTGGGCTATTAAAGTTAAAAATGTACGATTGCGAGTTACATGAAAGTAACTAAGCTATAAATAATTGTAATTAATAATAATTGTAAATATTAATTAATACTAAATAATATTATTTAATAAATTAGTCCCAATTCAATGCAGAGTTTTCTTCCAAGCACAGAAACTTGTAAATATAAATACAAGATAATAGATAGATCGATAAATAAATAGACAACTTTCAAATATTGCACCAAGTAATGGCGAGAGGAAAAAAAACTAGACAGTATACATTACATTTAAAATTAATAATGGATGAATGGTAATAAATTGGTGTATGTATGTATGTATACCAGACAAAGTCCATTTAATGGCAGAATTTAGCCATTTTGTGTAAAAACTTTTATATCTCATATTATTAATTATAACAGTAATCGAAAAAAGTCATAGTTTGTATATACAAGAGATGAAACAGAGAGCCATGAGCTAGAGCGATGTGCTGAGTCCATAAGGAGGCCGAGCTTCCAGAAATACCTTCCTGTGATTGGCTGTTGCGGGAATACCAACACTCTTTTATGAATAAAATTTAAACTAAGAAATAGGTCCTTGTGAACAACAACAAGGTTGTTGTGAAAAAGAACAACAATTTCTGTTTTGCACCTGACAGAAATCTCCATCTAACTGAATAATTTACTCGAATAAGAGGGCAGAGCAGTGTATCATTATTTGTGTCAAGGCAACCCCCAATAATAACGTCACAAGTTAGGTAGCCAGCCCATTTTTATATAACATCTGTTATATCCTGCAATATTTAATTATCACGTTATTAACACTTTAAATAATTAACACCAAGTTTTTTGGTAAATTAAAGTTAAAGCAGAATTCCATAAGCAGGACTAGTGGGCTGAACTAAGATGATTTACTAAGTGAATGGCACCTATAGCTGATTCCTTCCTGTGATTGGCTGTTGTGTGAATGTCAACAAAGAATATTTATCAATGATGTGCCATTTATTATGCACCCCATACCATCTTGTGGGCGGAGCTTGGAACCTCCTACCCGAGCACAACAACCCCACCTTATGGGTTGCTGTTTGGCTATTTATAGTGCGTTGGAAAAAAAACAGATGGCGTTAGTTGTATTTTGTGGGGTAATTTGTTATTAGTGTAATTTGATGTCAACAGATGGCGTAAGCTGTATCTTATGGCCACTATTGACCAGCCAGTTGATAGTGTTCTTATCTGCCGACAGATGGCATCAGCTGTGTTATTATTATTTTAATAATATTATTACATTAATAATAATGTATTATTATTACTTTAAACACTGATCTATACGTCTGGTAGCTTATAATAAGGTTTTATACCAGGCTGGTATTAGGTAACTAGAATTCTGCAATTACTTTTTTTATCAACTGTTGAGGATATGTAAGACAAATGTAAGGTTTTGAGGCTAAATAATGAAGATAGTTACAAGATACGACCCAGATGGTGTTGAGATTGCAAAAGGGATTATGATAAGAACTTAAGCCAAAAAATCAATGCATAAATGTACGCAAATATGAGACTGGGATTTATTTCTCGAAAGGTTAGCAATAAAATACGCTTTCTAGTTCTTTATTTTTAAAATTAAGAATGGATTCTGTCTAACGAAGCTGCAAGCTAAAACACCGTTATCCTATAATGTTCATCTGTAGCTTGACCCTAAATACTTGTTTATTAAACGAATTTATTGTTAGAGTTCATTAGGAATCAACTTTGTTGAAGACAGAGTTTCCAACAAATACCTTCCTGTGATTGGCTGTTGCGGGGAATGCCAACTCTTATATGAATAAAATGCAAAGTAAGAAATACGTCCTTTTGCTCAATAACCTTGTTGTTGTACAAAAGAACAACAATTTCTGTTCTATACAAGACAGAAATTTCCATCTAAGTGAATAATGTAGACCAATAAGAGGGCGGAGGCATTGTATCGCCGATGTTATTTGTGTGAGGCAACTCCCACTGATGACGTCACAAGCTAGGTAGCCAGCCCATGTTTTTGTAACACTCGTTACATTCTGCAGTATTTAATTATCACTATATTAATACTTTTAAATACTTAACATTTCACTTTTTAGGTAGATTAAAGTTGAAGCAGAATGTTATAAGCAAGAATGGTGTGCTGAATAAAGATGATTTATTAAGTGGATGGAACCTTTAGCTGATCCCTTCCTGTGATTGGCTGTGGTGAATGTCAACAAAGAATATCTACCAATGATATGCCATTTATTATGCACCCCATACCATTTTGTGGGGCGGAGCTTGGAACCTCCTACCCGAGCACAACAACCCGCCTTATGGGTTGCTGTTTGGCTATTTATAGTGCGTTGGAAAAAAAACAGATGGCGTTAGTTGTATTTTGCAGGGTAATTTGTTATAAGTGTAATTTGATGTCAACAGATGGCGTAAGCTGTATCTTATGGCCACTGTTGACCAGCCAGTTGATAATGGGTACAAGAATTCCACCAACTACGAACCACTTAGTTTGATGAACGGGGGCGGTAGAACAACAGAAGTGCACTTACATCGCATCAGGCTTGGATACCCATGTGCATGGGAAATAGGCTTACGGGTTCCGGAAGGTGAGAGGAAATGTCAACACTGTGGAGAAATGCCCGACAGACCACTGGAACATTATCTAACACAGTGCACAGTTACAAACCCGTTAAGATTTCACCTTCGATTCAACAGAGCAGAGGAAGTTGTTAAACACATATGGCAAAATCTTACTGAAGCGACCATACGGGTCATACATACTCATCCTCCGCCCAGGTAAACCAGAAACGAGCATCACTTAGTGGGCCAGCCAGAGGCTTAGGGCCCGCGCAGGATTATCCCTGCTAAAAAGAAAAAAAAAAAAAAAAAAAGTTGATAATGTTCTCTTCAGCCGACAGATGGCATCAGCTGTGTTATTATTACTTCCGAATTTATGATACCATTATGATATGATACCATTATACCATTTATGATAAGTATTAGATAACTGGAGTTCCGCAATTACTTTTATTAATCAACTGTTCAGGGTATCATCATATAACGTCTGGTTAGGACGTACTGCTCTCTATTGAGCCACCCAAGAGGTGGCAGGGGCATGAATAGCCCGTAAATACTGCTCTCGTAATATTATTCAGGGGGGTGGGGGAACTATCAAGTGAAAGCGCCAAGCCATTACGATTATATATCACTCGGAAGGGGCCAGGATACGGATTTGGGATGGAACGGGGGAAAGGAATTTTGCCCAACCTTTTGGGCGGTCGGGGATTGAACGCGGACCTGTAGGAAACGAGACCGTCGCTCTACCGTCCAACCCAAGTGGTTATAAGCGTAATATTATTAAAACAACAATTTATGCATATAATAACAGTATTTCACACTAAAAATACTTGGATATGTTGAAATTTGGTAGTGAATTCCAATCTAGGAATCTCCTATGACTAAACTGTACTTTTTAATCATTTTTATGTACTTACTACTTATTATTAAATTATTAAGTACTTATTATAATAATTAAATAAATTATTTTATTTAATATTTAAATTAAATGATAAAATAATAGGTAATAATAAATCATTGTGTAGGGGGACAGGCAGCCAGTGTATATATATATGTTAGGCTTATACCAAGGTGCCACAAAGGTGCCACAAAGGTGCCAAATTAAAGACTGGGAGCTGCCGGGGCGGGCCCAAGGGCTGCTGGCGGCCCTGGCCAGGCTGAACTTCCGCGCCCTTATAATCACCATTGTTTAATAATCTTCACAGGGAGAAACAACTGTAAATATAGGAATAGTTTATTACAACATACACGGTAAAGAAAACAGCTCGGAAACTAAGGATATAAAGCTGCTGAAAAAACATTAAAGTCCACTTCAAGTTCAAGTATGTTTATTGAGACAAAAAAATACATCTCAAAGGGATAGAGTAGCTTAGGCTATTTCTACCCCCCCCCCCCTCTACGTCAAGTCCCTCAAGGGGCGCACTAATTCAGTGAGTACAAATACACAAATCACAACAAGAATCCCATTTAACATAGCAGGTTAAAATAGGAAGCCCAGCATATAAGTGTTGCAAGAGAGCTACAAGTTACAAGGGAACAAGTGATATATATATATATGTATATATATATATATATATATATATATATATATATATATATATATATATATATATATATATATATATATATATATATATATATATAAAATATGTGTGTGTGTGTGTGTATGTATGTGCAGAAATAATATTAATAAAACAATTAACATAGTGAATTGATAGGATAGATAAAGACAGACTATTTAACTCAAGGGGCACACACACACACTAGGGAACACAGGTGGAAACTAAGTACCCAAATGAGCCATAGAGACATAGTATATTTTTTTCAGCGTCAGAGAAGTTGACAAATGGAATGCATTAGGAACTGATGATGTACTAGGGGGCAGACTCTATACACAGTTTCAAAAGAAGATATGATAGAGCACAATTGGTTCAGGAACCTATACATCAATTGATTGACAGATGAGAGGCGGGACCAAAGAGCAAGAGCTCAATCCCCGCAAGCACAACTAGGTGAGTACAATGTAGAACTGAGAACAGGAGGTGCCTTATCACCTACAGGATTAACCCGTGGAGCCGCTTACCTGCCATAGCCGTAAATGCCAAAACTCTGTTGAATATTAAAATTCAGCTGGACAAAAATTATCAGGTCAAATGAGTGTACTTTTGATAAGCCGCCGGCTTCCTTAAGTGTCCCTCAGGTAAATTAAGGTAAAGGATAAGTTTCAAATAAACCGCGTAACGGCGTCCGCGATCATTCAGAAAAACTATAGTAATTCAGTAAAATATTTTTAATTTGCAAAACTGCCTATAAATTATATAAATAAGATTATAAAAATCCAATGAAATATTAAAATTTCGTGTTGTCTAAGGGTAAAAATAAATTATAATGTGTGTAATATAAATATTAAATGTTAGTGTTGAGGGGAGGAGCTTGTGTTGGTCTTTACCAAGCTGAGAGCGACCCAGCAACATAACTCCGGTTCAGCGCTGATTTTATCCAATTATCTCGACCGGAAAACCAGCAGGTAAGTGCATTTACTAGGCCAGTACTAGGAGCCAGTGATGGTTGTAGCAGGTGGTGGCGCGGCAGGCCGCCAGGGCCAGCTGGTAGATGGTATAGATGCCAAGATATGGTGGAGCCACAACACGTGTGGGCGCCATGGCTCCCATAAGCCTTAATTTTATTTACACTTCAGATTCAAATCATTAATCTTTTTTTAAGTTTGTTCATGTTTACATGCGCACCGAGTAATTCTTAATTTGTTGTATTAAGGTGCCATATTTAATTAGCTTGTTGGGTGAAGCTAGAGCAGGGAACATTACCCTAGGGTAGGCCTAGGGGGCATGTAGGGTGAAGATAGACCAGGTACATTACCCTAGGGTAGGCCTAGGGGGCCACACTGAACCTGAATGGTACTAGAGAACAAGAGACTGGTACACTACTCTCACACACTACAAATGTTTATTTTTGCTAGGTTTGTTTGGCGAGGCGGCTCGAGGGCCTCCTGGCACCACTCGGTGTGTACACACATTGACTCTTTAAGACAATTGTATTATATAAGCTGTATACGTCAGTTGGTTAGGCCACGATGGGTTACGTGGGTTTTAAAATCTGTTGATGAACCGTGTTGAGTACGATGTGACTTGCTGTGTCTTCAGGTTGGGGTGAAGATATGCCAGGTTGTGCCTGCAGGTTGGGGGGTGAGGGTATGCCAGGTTATGCCTGCAGGTTGGGGTGAAAGTATGCCAGGTTATGCCTGCAGGTTGGGGGGTGAGGGTATGCCAGGTTATGCCTGCAAGGTAAGTAGGTTTAAAGAATCAAAAGTTATTCCTTAACCCATAACATAACATAGCCACCAAAACTTGGTAATATATCTTTAATGTACACTGAAACACTCGAGTGCTCCCACATCAATTATGCTCATCAGTTCCACAAATCAATGACCTTATTTCCAAACCAGTAACTAAACTACCCAATTGTTTCCTAAATCTAAACTTACCCAATGTACAGTACTGTATATGCATTGTTTGTTCTATTTTATGTTGACATCTTTAACACCTTATTAAGTACTTACCTGGAACACTATGTGTGCTAGTAGCTGTTCAAGAATGTAAGAACTCTTGTATATATAATAAATAAAAAAATGTATTGAGAAAATTAGTAGGAGCTGCCATTCTCTTGGCTGCTTCTTGTTTTCTCATTAATACATACCGTTAATGTGATTTCATTGTGCATCTTAACGAGAAGCATTGGAGATATAACTACAGTACTGACAAATGGGGGAAAACATGTGAAACCCTGATTGGGAGTCTGTAGGCATCTTGGGACCCCTAGAGGATTCAATGGAATCTAGGGTCATAAGGGATACACATTTCTTATCTGCTTGCCACAGAGTTGGCACACTGTATGAGGTGAATTACTAGGTATTTCTCTGCTTTGAATGTCTAAACCATGTTTTCTTGCATAACCACTGCACTGTGCACCTGGTTTCGACAAAAACTAAATAGTACAATCGTCCAGGGCATATTTTTGGTTTTATAAATGTTCAGATAAAGTTAATGTCAATGTTTCCAACTTAACTACTTCCATTTCAAAATGGTGGTGAAAATATTAAACATTAAAATATAGCCTAATTAAAAAAAAATAGTACAACTCACAAGAGCTCCTTAGGGCACTATGCGCAGTACAGTGGTTAAATTGGCACAACACTGGGATCTCTGTTATTTGCAATATATATATAGATTATTTAGATTTAGGTTTAAGCAGCAATATTTGCAAATTTGTTGATATGAAAATCGAGATAGCGTAGTTTACCGACTGTGTGGCCACCTGTTATTGCCTGCATTCACCATACCAGCTCAGTGGTTCTCTATGGTGAACACAAATGTAGATACTTGTATATAATGTGTGTATTAGTTTAATAACAGCAAAAGGATTATGTTGGGAGGAGCCATTTGGGTGACGGAGGTGGCGTCGTCTGCATGACTTGTTTAGCTGTGTAGAGGGTGGCTACTATGCTCTTTGGGCACCCTACAAGCTTAGGTGTACAGCTATGGTGCATACAACATGTAGATACTTGTACAGTATATAATGTGTGTATATAGTGTAATAACACCACAAACAGTATTGTTGGGGGAGAAATTTTAGTGTGCCTGACCTTGAATGAGTGAGGGAGGCAGCCGCCAGCTGACTGTGTAGCGACGTCTCATAATGCCTGAACTAACTATATCAGTTTAGTTGTACAGTTGTGGTGAACAAAACATGTAGATACTTATATATAATGTGTGTATAGTGTAATAACAGCAAAACTATTTGTTTATTGTTTTATGAACGTAATAATTGATTCACGAATATGAACACCATACTTTTGAGTATAACGATGATTTACACATGTTATTATATAAATCTATCACACTACATACTATTGAATATTACTGCAAAAAAAAAAAAAAAAATTAGGTAACAATATCTTTGTGGCAACTCCCACCTGACAGCTCTGGTGATGCTGATCGCCTTTGACAACTGCTCTGTCAACTCCCACATTTTGCCAGACTTCCTCGGCCTATTGCGCCCAAAATATGCCACCTATGATTTTTTTTATTCCGTGCTCAGGGAACACAAATTAACATTTTTAGAAGACTAAAAAAATTTTATAAATTTTTTCTTGTGCACAGTGGTGTAAAATCTCCTCACGTCCCCTTAGTAGCTTAAGGGTTGAAGTATCAACACAAGACAGAACACGAAACAATGTGTATAAATTTGATAAGTTTAGATTTAGGAAAGACTTGGGTAAATACTGGTTCGGTAACAGGGCTGTTGATTTGTGGAACAAATTACCACGTAACGTGGTGGAGGTGGGGTCCCTCGATTGTTTGAAACGTGGGTTGGACATGTATATGAATGGGATTGGGTGGTTACAGGAGATATCTCATATGGGCCAACAGGCCTTCTGCAGTTACCTTTATTCTTATGTTCTTAACACTTATTCGACCACACATGCCTCTATGCAAGACGCTGCAGACTGGTCTCCAGTGTCCTCTTTTACAGAGGCATGGATACTTATTGAGCGCTGGATTATGTACTGTGCACACATTACTTGAATCGATGCAGGAATGCTAGTACTTTTATAATATTTAATTTTAAATTCTAAAGGTTGATTAAACAACAGTATGTGGTAAGCCTAGGCCTGCTTCTTCCAAATTTGTGTTATGCTCAGTGGCCAAAATTAGCAGTGTCAAGTCAGCAGGCCACATAACTCCAAAGTTTGACTAATATGGGCACATATCCCCAAAAATCAAACGTGGTCATTTGTTTGTACATGGCACAGAAGACAAGTATCAGTAGTCACATTCACCAAAATCATAAAGGTTTTCATATTTACTAGTGTTAGGAAAGAACAAGACATTGTATGGTTAAGGGGTACATCCCATAAGTGGTCTGTTCCTTTGTGTAAAGTCCTGGTGTATATGACACTTAAACTGATGTCAAGCTATGCTGTATTTGCAGTTGCACATGGACAACGAGCTACATCAATAGTTCGTATTGAAAATGTTCATGTCATACTTAATGTTAGAACTGGGGATACACCCATTAGTCACAAAAGTCTAAACCGTCATCCGAGAACCATTATTTAAAATCCCATAGGTAATCCTGCAATAACATACGCGCGCGTGTGTGTGTAGGGTTAACGAACTGCAAAACAATATACTGTATTAAAATAAGCCTCCTTGTTCCAAATACAGAACCTCGAAACCCCCAACATTCATCATAGGACATAATGGTTGAGCACTACCTATAAGTGTAAGCAGCACAGTGGTTTCATACTCAGCTGTGTTAAATATGGGGCTGTAAAATTTGTGTATGTTAGGATATTTGACAGGATAGTACCAATATCCTGCTACTACATAATAAAAGCTGGAGAGTTTGTAGATTCCCAGCATACATTTTCAAAATTCTATAGTGTATAGTACCTAAGTGCTATATTGTACATTACAGCTTTCAGGGCTTGCTTTCTTATGGCAATTGGTGGCTTTTTCTGTTGCACATTTCCTTAATTCTAAACTCTTGCAGAAATTAACGAAAAAAGGTATTAAATTTACTCTTGGAACTTTACTGATGGTAAAGTACAAACCAGTAATACTCTCATTAATGTCTGGCTCATTCTTCATCTGTTTTGGACTACTGTACTAAAATATGCAATATCATTAGGCATGTAAAATTTATATTCATGTTGCATTATTTTTCTGAAAATAATTTTTGTATCATTACTAGGATGGCTTCAATGTACGATAAAGGTGACATGAAGGGGGGGATGATGGATGATGGAGCCCCCATCCATCGCATCCGCATCACACTCACGTCCAGCAATGTCAAATCACTTGAGAAAGGTGGGTTGGTTACTGCATGTCCTCCAGCCAGTCTCTCTAGCTTCATGTAACAGGGACCACTTCCTGTGATCTTGAATTTCCCTTTAACCTACATAATATTACATAAAAATAGTAATAATATATGTATAATAAAATAGTACTTTAACTAACAATATAACTACTATATAATGCAATACTAAAACTATTTACTTAAATTGGTAATACCTGCACTTGTTCCACTTGCCACACCCCCAGGTACTTTAAACGTTGTTGGAAAAGAAACACTATTGGTATGAACTCTCTTCACTGCAAAGAAGCCCCCACCCCCTTACACTTGAGTACACCCACTCTCTGGACATGTAGCTATTAGCTTCTCACTGGCAAGGGCGTTATCAACTTTAGTCCATCTCCACTTCTAACTTTCTCTCTGGATCTTTCTCATTTTTATTCATGGGGATACTAATTAATTTTGACCTGATTCTAACAAGTGTTGGGTTTAGCATACCCACCATTGTTCCCCTCTGCAGGAGGCTGGGGAGTGGCACACCCCTCCAGCCCTTGCCTACTCTGCTGCCCTAGTGTTAGTCTCTAAATTGTGTACCTACCTTACCTTACAAGTCTCCCCCACTTATTAACCTGTCAAATGTAAACTTTTAAACACTGAGAGAAGTTAGTTTATTACTATTGCATGTGGTATTTTAAGATTAACTATACATAACCTTTTTTGTCAATTTTTAAACACTTCAATGACCAGTTTGCCTGTTAAAGTAATATGAACATGTGAAAAAGATCATTGGCTTGAGTTGGCATGGAAAGGCAGTATCTAGTCTGTCAGTACAGGTAATATATATTTATAGTACTAATCAAGTGCACTTCTCGCACTATTCAATAAGAATACAGAAAGCTGCAAAAGGTCATAATGACCTATGGTAGGCAGCTCCTATTTATTGTAAAACTCAACCCATAACCTAAACTTTAAAATATTTAGTGACCTGCTGGCATTTGTTAGCTAGTAACATGTTCACAGCTTGTATCTGAATCTAAACTTGGCCAATTTGTCCATTTCTGTGGATATCAAAATATCCATATTTTGAACCATTAATATTTCCTTTGTTATATTTTCTTTTGCTATATCAGTTCTCCCTGTACTTCCTCCCTCAAAGGTCTACTCTTGTCGGTGTGAACAGGGCTCTCGTAACAACTCTTTGGCCTGGTGGGGAATTATCTTGGCACCCTTTCCATGATCCATGCACTGTTTGGCCTCGATTTTTTATCATATAAGCACCTTATTGACTGGAAAACTGTGTTGCTTTTAGTCCCCCAATTGGTCTGGTGCACACATTTTGCAGCCCCTTCTAAAGAGGCAGCCAGTCACCTAACTGCTTTGTCCTGCACTAGTGAGATCCCAGTTCATGTCTCCAAAAATGAGATGAATTGTATTTCCTGAGTAGGGATTCCTTATTTTAATTTATCTGTAGACTTTCATTCTGCAATATGTGACCATTGGCAAGGTTGTAGGTCTGGCATAAGATATCAAACTGTGCACTTTGATGATCTTGCTACTTGGGCTTCCCACCTACCACCATAATGGACAGTGGGAAATGGTTGTGGTTTGGCTGTGTATCAGCCGCATATTAACTCATGGATACTTTTGGAAACTGTCCTGCTCCTTGTTGACCGAACCCCATTGTCCCAATTAGTCTTACACCTTGTATGTCCTGATTTTCAGGTTGATGAGATATCTTGCTTTCAAAGTCATTTGTTTAATTGGTGAATCCAGTACCTTTGATGTTCAACTTTTGTCCCTTTGTTCTGGTATTGGCATCCTGAGGGATATTTAGTATCTTTTGAACATCCAGTGACATACATGGTGGCATAGTCTTCCTGGCTCGGCACCTTCTTTTTGATCATTACTTACTTACCCCTTTTTTTTGCCTCTTAAATACAAGTTAAGCTTTCTTTGCATACTTTAAAGCTACACTTGTCCATTATATAAATTGTAAATAACATTGCAGTGAATGAGTTTTAGAAAAGTTACCAAAAGGAAAACAGGTTAAATTGCATGTGTAGATTAGACATCACTAGGCTTAGGTGAATATCATTAGGCATGTAAAATTTATATTCATGTTGCATTATTTTTCTGAAAATAATTTTTGTATCATTACTAGGATGGCTTCAATGTACGATAAAGGTGACATGAAGGGGGGGATGATGGATGATGGAGCCCCCATCCATCGCATCCGCATCACACTCACGTCCAGCAATGTCAAATCACTTGAGAAAGGTGGGTTGGTTACTGCATGTCCTCCAGCCAGTCTCTCTAGCTTCATGTAACAGGGACCACTTCCTGTGATCTTGAATTTCCCTTTAACCTACATAATATTACATAAAAATAGTAATAATATATGTATAATAAAATAGTACTTTAACTAACAATATAACTACTATATAATGCAATACTAAAACTATTTACTTAAATTGGTAATACCTGCACTTGTTCCACTTGCCACACCCCCAGGTACTTTAAACGTTGTTGGAAAAGAAACACTATTGGTATGAACTCTCTTCACTGCAAAGAAGCCCCCACCCCCTTACACTTGAGTACACCCACTCTCTGGACATGTAGCTATTAGCTTCTCACTGGCAAGGGCGTTATCAACTTTAGTCCATCTCCACTTCTAACTTTCTCTCTGGATCTTTCTCATTTTTATTCATGGGGATACTAATTAATTTTGACCTGATTCTAACAAGTGTTGGGTTTAGCATACCCACCATTGTTCCCCTCTGCAGGAGGCTGGGGAGTGGCACACCCCTCCAGCCCTTGCCTACTCTGCTGCCCTAGTGTTAGTCTCTAAATTGTGTACCTACCTTACCTTACAAGTCTCCCCCACTTATTAACCTGTCAAATGTAAACTTTTAAACACTGAGAGAAGTTAGTTTATTACTATTGCATGTGGTATTTTAAGATTAACTATACATAACCTTTTTTGTCAATTTTTAAACACTTCAATGACCAGTTTGCCTGTTAAAGTAATATGAACATGTGAAAAAGATCATTGGCTTGAGTTGGCATGGAAAGGCAGTATCTAGTCTGTCAGTACAGGTAATATATATTTATAGTACTAATCAAGTGCACTTCTCGCACTATTCAATAAGAATACAGAAAGCTGCAAAAGGTCATAATGACCTATGGTAGGCAGCTCCTATTTATTGTAAAACTCAACCCATAACCTAAACTTTAAAATATTTAGTGACCTGCTGGCATTTGTTAGCTAGTAACATGTTCACAGCTTGTATCTGAATCTAAACTTGGCCAATTTGTCCATTTCTGTGGATATCAAAATATCCATATTTTGAACCATTAATATTTCCTTTGTTATATTTTCTTTTGCTATATCAGTTCTCCCTGTACTTCCTCCCTCAAAGGTCTACTCTTGTCGGTGTGAACAGGGCTCTCGTAACAACTCTTTGGCCTGGTGGGGAATTATCTTGGCACCCTTTCCATGATCCATGCACTGTTTGGCCTCGATTTTTTATCATATAAGCACCTTATTGACTGGAAAACTGTGTTGCTTTTAGTCCCCCAATTGGTCTGGTGCACACATTTTGCAGCCCCTTCTAAAGAGGCAGCCAGTCACCTAACTGCTTTGTCCTGCACTAGTGAGATCCCAGTTCATGTCTCCAAAAATGAGATGAATTGTATTTCCTGAGTAGGGATTCCTTATTTTAATTTATCTGTAGACTTTCATTCTGCAATCTGTGACCATTGGCAAGGTTGTAGGTCTGGCATAAGATATCAAACTGTGCACTTTGATGATCTTGCTACTTGGCTTCCCACCTACCACCATAATGGACAGTGGGAAATGGTTGTGGTTTGGCTGTGTATCAGCCGCATATTAACTCATGGATACTTTTGGAAACTGTCCTGCTCCTTGTTGACCGAACCCCATTGTCCCAATTAGTCTTACACCTTGTATGTCCTGATTTTCAGGTTGATGAGATATCTTGCTTTCAAAGTCATTTGTTTAATTGGTGAATCCAGTACCTTTGATGTTCAACTTTTGTCCCTTTGTTCTGGTATTGGCATCCTGAGGGATATTTAGTATCTTTTGAACATCCAGTGACATACATGGTGGCATAGTCTTCCTGGCTCGGCACCTTCTTTTTGATCATTACTTACTTACCCCTTTTTTTTGCCTCTTAAATACAAGTTAAGCTTTCTTTGCATACTTTAAAGCTACACTTGTCCATTATATAAATTGTAAATAACATTGCAGTGAATGAGTTTTAGAAAAGTTACCAAAAGGAAAACAGGTTAAATTGCATGTGTAGATTAGACATCACTAGGCTTAGGTGGTGGGAGTGTCCAATGCCAACAGCTGTGACCCAGTTATTGTGATTATACAATAGATGAATTTTAGAGCACATTTAAAAATAATGTTCATACTCGGGGAAACTATTCTAAATTATTAAATTTAAATTTATGAACATTATATTAAAGGCTCTTAATTGAGAAAAAATGCACGTCTTTTATAAGCGAATTATCGTAGAAACTTTTAAATTCCTTAAAATGAGAATGGCATGGGAAGTAGACAAATAATGTCAATATGTCTGCTGTTACACAAGCAGACTAGAATAGTTACTAGAGAAATTTTTATAATAAACTAATAAACCTTTGAGGTGCACACATCCTTGTGTGCACCTCAAAGGTTTGGACCACCAAGCCTTGACAAAGTATGTTCAGAACTTGTTTTAGGGTTGCTTATACTGTGCATAATCGGTCCATTGATGCTAAAAAATAATCTTGTAAGGTGATTTCAGGGTGGCTTACTTTTTGGCTACAGTATATAGGTACAGGTATATAATTCAGAAACCTCGGTATTTTAGGACAATAAATGAGGAATGGTTAAATGTTTACACTTTGGTAAATTCTGCAACTACTCTATGAACTGAAATGCATATACAGGTACAGTACTGTACTGTACCATTTTTTATTCGTCTTTAGAACTTCATTTCGGTTTACTGCTGGGTGCAAGGCGATGGGACGGGTTGTAAAAGTGCTAAGTTAAACAGTAGAGCACAGTGCTGAGATCCCCCCCCCCCTTCCCTTGGAGGGGAAGGGGGGTGGTACTGTAATAATGGTTTTTAAATAGGTAATAAACCCTCAGCTTTAAACTAGTTAAATTTGTGTAACATTAATTGTGGGAGAAATAATTAATGAGATCATTACAAATGACTTTTGTACATTTGTCACATTAGCAGTGGAGCAAGGACTGTGCCCTGAGGTACATCTCTGTACCTTGGACTCTTCTGTGCTTGGAATAGTCTTTACCTCTATTCCTGCAATTTGGTACCACTGTGCCAAATGCTTGTACTATATTTTATTTGATCAACTGTTGCTCTTTGTGTTCTGTTTAACAAAATTTAATATCCAGTGTCCTACTTTACCTGTTATATCTATTGATCTCATTTTATGGACTATCACTCCGTGGTCGCATTTATCAAATGCCTTTGCAAAGTCTGTATACCACATCTACATTCTGTTTTTCCTCTTAATACCTCGAGTGATTGTCATATTGTTCGAGTAGTTGCGAGAGGCATGATCTGCTCTAAATCCATGTTGGTCTGGATTGTGGAGGTCATTGGTTACTGAAGCTGCTGATCACACTACCCAACCCATGTACCATACACTACCTGTTTTATGGCTGACAGACCAACAACAGTATAAATATCTTGACCCATGCCTCATTCTATGTATTCCTGCATTACATAGATGGACTCATGAGCATCTGCCCTTGATATATATCTCATTCTGGGCATATCTTCATTTATTTTACAGCTTCACTCCATGAGCTGTCTAGATTCTAGTGAAAGGTGCTAATGTAGAATTCATCCCTTTGTCTCCAGTAAGGGTTTTCAATCCAATGGCGATTTGAGCACAGGAGGATATAGCAAATAAGTGGTGAAATGTAATGATTAAGTTAGCAGTTGTCCACTATTTCTAAAAAATTCTTGCTTCTGCATTCCTAATTTTATTCAACTATAATTAGTCACCTACAGTGGAAACTTATTTAAACCTAGACATTTGTTCCAATATATGCCTTCCATTCTGTTAGATTTTGTAAGTCTCGTAGTTGCTGTTTAAACCCCCCCCACCCTTTTAAATTTCCTCATACCAAAATTACCCTTTCTCCATATCTAATTTTGTCTATACATGTACATATCTTTATTTAGTATTTAAAGTGTTTATATTCAGTGATAAATGGGTGGACTACTATACAAAGTGTATTGCTACCTTGGAATGTTAACCCTTTGGTGTTTGTTGCAGGCATAAAATGCAATAAAAGTTTATGGCTCCCACATTAGTGTTTTTTTGTGGTAGGAAAGGTTGTGTTTCCTGATGACTTATTGATTGGCAATAGTGAGAGACTGCTCCATTCCCTAGAGATAGAGTAGTCCTGTTGAGGTATGATTGAATCTGAGATAGTGTGGAAACAAATTATGCTAACCTAAGCTAAATGAGCGAAATGTTTCATCTTGTAATAAGACTTTCTTCTCCCAACAGTGTGCTCCGAGCTAGTGCGAGGAGCAAAGGACAAGCAGCTGAAGGTGAAGGGGCCAGTGCGCATGCCAACCAAAACACTGCGAATCACCACTCGTAAAACCCCCTGTGGAGAGGGTTCCAAGACCTGGGACCGTTTTCAGATGAGAATACACAAGCGTGTTATTGATCTGCACTCCCCTTCAGAAGTGGTGAAACAGATTACCAGCATCAGCATTGAGCCCGATGTGGATGTTGAAGTCACCATTGCAGAGTAAAGCCGATTAAAGAGTCGTACAACCTAATGTATCATTATCCTAAATTAGCAAGCCTCTGAAAGGGAAAGTTTACATACTCTCTTGCAGTGTTCATGTCTGCAGCAGCCGTTCTGAGAATACATAATCCGTATAGTACACAAGAACAATCTTGTTATCCCCATCTGTCCTGTTCGTTGTCAGCGTGAGGGGGACTCTTTTGGTTTTTGTTTATGTGCAAGAGTTTTAGATTCTTGTAAAGTCAGTATCACGCATATCGTTCAGGGCAGGTTCTTAACCAAATTTTCCCCGGAAAATTACCCGGGGTTAAACCCGCCAAATTGTTTAACCTCCAGGTACCCATTCACTGTGCGAACAGATGCGTATAGTTAAGGATTAGCTCCTAGTTAATCCTTCCCGGCCAGGATCCGTAATTTTCCTTTTCCCCCCTACCTATTTTCAGTCTCATTCCTCTGCTGCTCGTATCTTTGTGAATAAATGGTACACAGTCTGTTCCATTTATCCCCCTAAATGTTCTGCATTCTTTTCCAGATCTTAAACATTTTGCCTGTGCACCTTTTGGGTGATTTTAAGTGCATGCCCTATTGGGTGATGATCGTGGCCGCCTTCTCAAACCTTTCGTCCTGTCCTTGTCTTCTGAATTCAGGTGAGCGAACCCATGTTGATGCACACATCTGCACTTTTCCTTTCTTCATCTTTCTCTCCTATATATTTATTTATTTATTAGAGATCACTTGGAGAATTCTTGATGACCTATAACAGTGACCATTTCCCCATCCTCGTATCCTTTTCTTTCCACTCTCCCATATCTTCCTAAGTGGCGGTTGGAATCTGTTCATCCTTCACGCTACTCTTGCTGACCTGTTTGATAATCTATCTCCCTTGGGCTCTCCTTCATGACGGCGTACCCTCAGCTCTGTTCCCTACTACCTCGCGGGGCACACAGAATTTGCTTCCCTGCTGGAATTTGAACCGTGCTCGGGCTGTAAGCGTGCAGCTTGAAAAAGACGCCGGCTCCGACACATGATTCCTCCTATTTGTTTCAGGCGGCGAGTGCAGTGGCCCGTAGGGCTGCACTCGCTAAGCGCGAGCTGGAAATCGTGTGTCTACCCTTACAGTTGACACCGCTTTCACTCAGATCTTTAAGAAAATCCTAAAGCTAGCAGGGAAGTTTGTTCCAGGTATTTCACCTATCCTTCACCTTCATGGTTCTGTCGTAGCGGATCCGGTGACGGTTGTAAATGAATTGGGTTCTCACTTTTAGACTTAGTTCAGGTTCTCATCATCTTAATTTTCTTGCTCGTGAGCCCTTTATTGAATCTCGTCCATTAGACTTTTGCACCCATCTATTGTGCTAAGCTTTTGGGGTTGATTTTGACACTCGTTTGTCTTGGTCACAAAACAAACAAAACGCATAATTCGGGCTATATCAAAGTTATCAGATTCAATCGAGGAACAGTAGGAAAGTAAGAAATAGGATCGGTCTGAAAATCTGGACATTCTGAAAGGTGGTGCACGACTGTAAAGAGGGACAATGCAGTATTGACGGTTAGGAGCAGGGTAGTGTTTGGTCAATACGTAACATCTTCAAAGCGGTTTATTAATATTTGTTGGAGGAGGAAGGGCCTGGAAACAGATTACCTTTAAGAGTGCACAGGTTTTTACCTAGCACACATGCACAAAAAAACCAACCTGCCAGTGGTCTCAGATTGAGGAATGAACGGTTATATACTAATCTGAACAAGGAACGCCTTTCAGGGAAACTGGACAAGCACGGACTGCCTCCTTAGCATTAATACCAATAAGGCTAGAGGTAAAAGCTACTAGAGATAGTCAATATTAGATTTCTACTACCATAGGGTTAAATGACAAATGCCATGAGGGTACTGAGTCAACCACAATGACAAAAGTACTGACATCGGGAAGGCAGTTGACACTGAGAAGTGTCGCTTGCCAAATGACGAGCAGTTGACAAGTGTATACAAAATTACATAATGTTCAGCAGTGAAAATGCTAGTCTCCGGAGGCAGGAGAGAGGTGTTAGGAAAGACAAGTGTTGCCAAAATTAGAACTATCTTTGAATACGGCAATGAAATGCGAGTGCGAAAATGTGTTTTGAGAAGTTTCAGAACTATAGGGTTGATAAGTCTTTATCGTGTTGGGCAAGGTCTTGCAAAACATGTGTGTTTGGGGGGGGGGGGGGAGAAGGGAAAGAAGGTTAGGTTGGAATGACATGAGGATATATATTGCAAGTAAGACATCTGTACAGAAAATGTTAGGTGGTAAAAGAGCCCACACGAAGTGTAACAGTTAATGTACAACATAAGCGAGTGAGGGTGTTGCAAGGTCACGAAGGTAGTAACTGTCACGACAATCCTATACAAAAATGATACCTATTTCCAGACAAAAGGAGTACAAGCTCAGGGTAGTGGACGAATGAAAGGTACCAAAGCATGGTGCAGAGCATCAAGACGACGGTAACAACCAGTCACCTCTGGGACACCATGCGTATTTCTGAAGGTTGTACTAGAAAATAGTAGTTATGGAATTCAACATTAGTCCAACCAGGCTTACCGTTCCTTTACATTTGTTGGAATATGAATGTTATTAAGTTGAGCCTTAGCAAGGATAACTGTAATCAGTGGTTAGGTAAGGTTTGGAACTCTCCATTCCTATTATAAAGTTTGTCGGAAGACCATTATCTAAGGGTTGAATTCCAACAAGGTTTCTCAACATTATTATAAACAATCTAATTATCAACTGCTGCAAATACAGTAAAACATTTTGGTAAAATTAAAAAAGTGACCCACATATTTTTTATTAATTCAAACAAATCTGGTCATGTAGAGAAGTACAAGACAGGACTAAATGTCACCAAGTTTATATTTGAGATAAACATAATCCCAGTACTGAACTCTCTTCTGGTACATGTCACCCCCCCCCCCCCTCCCTCACATACACACACATTTTCTATATTACAGTACTTCAATCTTAAATGTGAGTATCTAATCAAAAATACAAATCATCATATAAACCTTATCCCAAATCTGAAGTTGTATTTACAATACAACAATTATGGACTTTAATGAACCTTGAATTGCTCTCGCACATGGAAATAAAATTGGTTGACCAATATGAATTTAAAAATGTGAAAAATTGTAAAAAGAAAACCATTAATCAACTGTTACAGGAAAGAGTTTTAACCATATATAAATATATACAAATGACCAGCAATTGAGTGGTCACTTCACAAACCAATGATGGATGTGATAAATTAATGTTTTGTATGGACCTGTCAAAAATAGCACAATGACCAGGACACCATGGTAACACCTACATTTCTGTAACATGAGTAAGAGTTTTCTGTAATGAGTGACCATACAAAATCTATGAAATAAAGTACAATAAACTTACTTTGGGAGAAAAGAACATATTTACAAAGGATTTTCGTTTAAAGGAGTGTCTTGAAACATCAAGAATTATTATTTCAGTGCTCTCTAGATGTCAAGTTTGTACTCGAGCACATCTGACACTAACTTAGTGCCTGTTTTCTTTCAAGGGCAATTAAAATTGTAAGATGGACAATTATATATTACATAACCGAGCATCTGATGCAGTGAGACACAGTACAAGCACACTGCACAAGGTACCAATGTTACGTTATGATAAGCCTGATGAACTATACGTTATTACTTTTTTTTGTACAAAACCACAAGTTGCTAAAAATTTAAGTCTTGTATTGCTTTGAGGGGTAGAAACCCCTCCATATCTATGGTGGCTGCTGCCTCAAATGGCAAGTTAAATGGGGGAAAAAAAAATCACAGGAGCTAACATGCTAGTTCCAGCCTCAGCTTCATACAGTCTCAATAGACAGATGTACAGATGTCACACACACTACAGCTTATTTTAAATAAGAATACTAGCAATTTACAGAATAATGTCCAATTCGTCTCTGGTATAAACATTACTCCCCATGTTCATTATCCGTGGGTATCCAGCCACAAGGGCATCTTGTGCACCAATGTAAAGATTGTTGTAAATTTTCCAATAGACATCACGTACTTTTCTGGCTGGGTGGAAGAGTCCTTGCAGTACATACTGTAGAATCTGCAAGCAAAAGAATTTCCTTTAGGGATATGTATTGCTTACAAATAATTAAGCTACAAATTTTGATATAGTTAATAGTCCACAAGAACATGTACTGTCTGGATGAGAAAGTACATGTTAGGTAATTCTTGACTATAAAAAAAAAAAAAAAAAAAAAAAAAAAAAAAAAAAAGCAAGTGGAACAGAATGATCTTTGCCACAATTGTGAAATGTTTGGAAAGAATGGTTAAGTAGGAACAAAAAATAGCAATTACCTCTAACACTAAATACACAAACAAAAACAAACAGCTCACTTACTTTCTGAGGTCCTAGTGCCACACGAAGCCCCTCAATGCTATCCATGAAGGCTTGAACCAGGTGAGGAGAAGTTTCAAATATATTGGGCCAAACATAATTCAAGAGATGAACCATTGCATCTTCACAACCAAATCCATAGACTCCAATAGCCATGTGCTTGATAGCAGCACAAGCAGTCTGTCTGTGAACCAGGTCTCTATCCATGAGGGCATCTTCCAGCAGGGATGTGACAGCATATATATAATCTTTCCCCATTTCTCCAATGTATTCAAAGAGAAATGAGAGAGATTTCAGAACACCATTTTGAACATTCAGCTCAGGAACTCTATATTCATTCATAAGTCCAGGCAGGACAGTGAAAGGGGAACATGTCTCTGCAACTATGGCAATAGCAACAGTTGTGCACACACGATTTTGGCGTTCCTGAACTTTGAGATTGTTTAGTAGTGTGGCTAACACATCATGTGGGCCAATAGCTTTGGCAATATAACCAAATGTGTTGACAGTGGCTCTTCTGATGGCTTTCTTATGAGCCTTCAGAAGTTCTAACAACTCGAAACAAATCCTCATCCATTCGCGAGGACTCACATACTCTGGCCCACGATCTGCAATGCGTCCCACCAAATCAATACAGTTTTCTTGCACTTTTTCATGTCTGTTCTTGAGAATTGGAGTGAGACGAGGTAACAGGTCCTTGATAGGTGGATTCATTTTGTGCATGCCAATGACATTAACAATGCCTTTTAGGGCGCCCAAGATAGACCCGAGTACCTCTGGGTACTCCTCACCGAGATACTCATACAACACAACTCCCAAATGACCCATCAGTTTCTCTTCCTGACATGTTTTCATCACGACGGCAATGCGGGATATCAAATCTGCAGCTTGCTGACGCACTTTTGCAGATTTGTTGTTCAGTCGCCACAAAATTGTACCACAAATCTGAGGGAGGTAGGCCTTAACTCGAGATCCTAGTGCATTCACAATTGTGCCAAAGCCATTGAGCATAACAACATCTTCAGTTGTCTGCTCTTGGAAAGCATACAGAATGCCATCAATAAGTTGTTCTTCAAGTCGGGAATCTATATCGGCAGCTCCAAGGTTTGCCATAATTTTTTCGATAGTTTCCATAACCATTTTTCGGTACTGTTCATTTTCATCCTTTAGGTCATCAACAATGCGGTTGACTATCTCTGACGTCCCCACCTTATTTGCAATTTCAACCGTGGTGTCAACGAGCTGGCGATAGTTACGACGATCAAGAGCCATTCTGTGGTTCCAGAAGTGCTTAAAGAAGTGTGGCAAGATCTCTTCCTTAATGTACCCAGGTTCAACACCATCAGTGGCACAACACTGTTTCACCACTTTTAACACAATTTTCTTCATCTCTTCGTCAGGACTCTGAAATTCACGGATGAGAATCAGCATCACTTCCCTTGTGTAGTAATCAGCATATTCTCCATCCATAAGTGGAATAAGGTATCCAATTGCTTTAAGGAAGGCAGCAAGACCTTTTCCTCGGTGCTGACGGATACCACGCCACAGAGGTTTCAAAACAGAATCAAAGCTCTCAATACCATATGGAGTAGCAGCTTCAGCCAGAGCCGCTAAAGCCAAAGCAGTGATTGTACGTACTTTTTGCTGCTCATCAACTAGACCATGTTCAATAATTTCCACAAGAGAACGAAGGTGGGGCAATATAGCACAACCCATTAAAATGGCAATCTGCTGCACTATTTTGATGCCTGTATGCCGAGCCTGCCAAGATTTCTTGCTTTTGCACACAGCTTTTAAGAATGGCAAGAGGGAAGGAATACCTAGAGCAGATGCCACAACAGCAAAAGCTCGAGCAGTTGTATTACGTACATATTCATCGATGTTGTCAATATCAGGCCTCATTGTGGAAATCATTGTTGCTAAACCAGCTGCCTTGGCTAAATTACTGATAATTTCACGGCCTTCTACACGAGCATAATAATCTTCATCAATAAGCAAAGGTTCAATAACCACCAAAATTTTGTGAACGTAAGGACGAACAAGATCATCCAATTTGTAGAGAACTCTGTCAATGACTTTAACCAGAAGATGGCGTTCTTGATCTTCCAGTGTTGGGGACATCAGAAGTGGCAAGATCTGGTTGAACAGAGGACCAGCACCAAACTCACGGGCCTTATCTGTAATCTGGCGGAGAGCTGCTTTACGCATAGGTGGTGTACCATTCTTTATCTTCAACAAAAGTTTCATAATTTTCCTTTCTTTCTGTTCTTCAGGGCTCAAGCTTTCCTCATCAACATCCTGAAGTAGCTTATCAAAATACTGTGCATCCTCAGGTTTTAGCAATGGAAGATTTCCCTTTGGCTGAGAATCTTCGTGTTTAGGAGTCATGCCTTCTTTCTGCATGAAAAAGCCTTGTGGTGTACCCATCATAGGTGTAGGCGTTGCTGTGAGTTTACGGGCTGGTGTCCTGATAGGTACATATCCCTGTGGAGGGGGTAGAATTTCATATCCTGGTGGAAACAATGCATCAAGTTCCTCATCTGTCATGGGGCGATTTCTTTCATCAATTTCTCTCTCCCAACGGAAGGCATGAATCTGTTCAGGAGTCATGTTCACCAGCTGTCCAGGTGATGGTGTTGCCATTCCAATGGCTTTAGGTCCTACTGGTGTTGTTCCTCCTGGGGTGATAGCACCTGGAGTCATCATTCCTGGAGTCATGCTAGGAGTGTGGGGTGTGGATGGAGTCAAAGCCCCTGATGGTGTGGCAACTGGAGTCTGTGCTGCAGGAGTTTCATCCCACCTTGAACGTCGCTTGCTTGCACTTGGAGTTGGGGTTTCTTGAATAAGATCACCAGCTCCACGATCAGTGCGAGGAGTCTCGGCCCACCCACTATTGTGTCCTGGAGTTTCTCCTCTATCTGTTTTTGGAGTTTCATCCCACCGATTTCGACGAGCAGAGGGTGTCAACTTATCATGACCCGGAGTTTCATGACCAGGGGTAGCATGTCCAGGGGTAGCATCCCACATGCGGGTACTTTGCCCAGGAGTTGCTCCAGGTGTTTCGCCCCCCTTAGCTCGACCAGGAGTTTCATCCCAACGAGCAATGGATGGAGTTTCCGCTTCCCAAGTCGATTTCTTCTTCGGTTGAGGAGTGTCGTCAGCTGTCTGATCCCAACGACCGCGCTTTCTAGGGGCAGCTTTTGGAGCCTCACCATTGGTCGCCACAGCCTGGAGAGTTCCTTCTTTTGAACGTTCTTGCATTGTCTTCCGAATCTGAAATAAAAATTTGTAAAGTTTTCTGAATTAGATGCAATGAACAAGTAGTTTGTTATAAAAGACTGAATGATAGGCATTTTATCTTGACAATTCACGCAACATTATTCACACTCAATCTTAAATGGCCAAGATGTGTCCAGATATACATAGCATGTGTGGGGGGCACTATTTGTGTGTAATACTACTGAATGAAGAGGGCATCCATCATGGACAGTGTGGCTCTCTTGGGAAGTGCCTCCCTATACTATGAAAAAGGGAACAAAGTAACAATAGTTAACTTCCAACACTAGTTCAAGCAAACACTGGGCTATTAACTACAACAGCACTTGTTTACAAGATAATGCAAGAGATACTAATACGCAAGTCATGCCTCAGAAGGACATACCAGTCAAGGACAAGCCTTTAGTGCACACTAAGTTTTGCTCAGTGAAGAGTTTTCAGGTTCAGTTACTTTACTAAATATTTCTGAGATTATAATGTCTACCACTTTTAATTAACATGAAAGCATTAAAAGTGGCCCAGTGTTCTAATAAACTCCTGGATGGTCAGAACAGGTTGTGTTCATATTCAATGCAAATTGTTTAAAAGAAACAAATAAATTTGAGTTTTAGCGAGGCGTCCTCGCCTCAGCCACCACTGTGCTTGCAGCTTACAGAATCGAATTGTAACCTACAGTATTGCAGTGCACAAAATCTGAAATCTGCACAGAAATAATTCCTCATGAGGCAAGTTTGCAAATTTGTAAACTTCATCCTGGAGACATTCATGTAACACCACATTAAGCAGGCCATGAGAATGAGGGATGTTTCATCAATACTCGACTTATTCACCAGGAAAGAAAGGTATTTGACATCCAGTACCTCCCTCCCTTGGGAAAGAGTGACACTGCCCTGTTGATAATTAAATATGCAATGTGAAATAATCTAGAAGAGAATGGGGAATTGAAATAGTTAAAAAACTTGAGTTCAAGAGAGGACACCATGGGGAACTTAGCAAATTCTTTAATGAATTTAATTAGAAAGACTTGTTGCTAGGCAAGGAAGTAAATGAGATGTATGCCAAAATCTATGAAAATATACAATGAGAGCACAAAATAATTTATACCAAAACAGAGATGCAGAACCGGATAACAGGTTCGGTTCAATAGAAATTGTGAAAGGCCTAAAGGGGGGTAAAGATAAGACAATCAGTAAAATATAGGAAAGAATCTAACCCTCAAATATACCAACACTACAAACAATTAAGAAAAATACACAGCCGCGAGTAGAGGCAGAAAGGATTTTTGAGAAAGGGTTGTGGACAAATGTAAAACAGATCCAGGCCTTTTCTATAAACTCAATAAAAGCAAGCTGCATGTAAAGGAGTAACTGCAGAAATAGAGAATGGGGAACGGGTTCACAGAGAATGAAAAAGAAACTTGAAACACTAAATGAACATTTCCACATTGTGTTTGTGCAACAAGAGGTTTTCAGAAACCCTGACACAATACCAATTCCAGAAAACACCATAGAGTACACAGAAGTGTCTCGAGATGTAGTGGAAAATTTACTCAAAGGGCTAGGAAGAAATAAAGCTGTTAGACCAAATGGTCTAACACTTTGGGTGCCGAGAGAATGTGCAAATGAGCCGAGCATTCCAAAATTTCAAATTCCAGAGAAATTCCAAATACAATGAGTCGGCTTTGCGATAGTTTGTTTGAGCGAGTTCACACTGTATTATGGGCCTCCAGATATACCATGCTGCTAATGCAATTTCACAAATGTGGTGAATTAATACTCACTAGTGCTTCTTCTCCCTTGAGACGTGCTTCCTGCATGATGTGGGCATAGGTGCGGGCATTCATGTCTGGTGTCTTCCCTCCTGCAAGATACACACGGCCAATGCATTAGTACTTGATCATCAATTTTAAGTATACGCTTTAATTATCTAAATTTTATGTCCTAAATGTGAATGTAATAAAGACTGATTCAGGAAGAAATACAAAAAAAAAAAAAACTAAATTATGGCTATACAAAATCTCTACACAAATTTGGAATGAAGGCAATATTTGTATCAACCCCCTCAACATTTGATATTTATAAATTAAATCGACACAGGACAAATTAAAGGGCTAAAGTCTATCCAGTGTTATCTAGGGTCTAGAAGTAACCTGCAACAATAAAATGGCGGCACACTGGTGTTGGGTATGTATCAATAATTCACACCGAGCTGGTGCAGGCGACACACAATGGTCAGCTTATGCTGAAACACCTGCTTGGTTAAGAAATAATTAAGAGGAGCCTAAACACTGATTTGTTTGATACATTACAAGTGACAAATCACAACAAGAAGGTGGAGAGCATTATAAAAGTAATTTAGCATTGTGTGGTAGGGCAGCACACCTGAATGTACACACACACACACAACACTGCAGACTAAGAGCATGCAAGGACTAGAAGGATATACTGTGCAACACTCAGGCCATACCATGGCACTCAACCCACAGTTTTTATAGACACATCACGTTCTTGTGATATTGTGTACTGTAGTCATCTTCGGCATACATGTGTGTGACCGTAAGTAGTCGGCTACATGGATCAACGACACCCAAGCTGCTCCACTGCTATGAATTTTAAGATCAATGCAATCCAAAATGACTCCTTTTGCTGTTCACCAAATAGTCCATGATAATTTAGCACAGAAAATTCATGTAATGCTTGCACATATTACTAAGAGTTCTTAGTACTGTAATATGAGTAGTCAAACATACTGTAGTACAGTATTTTTGTTTCATATAATAACCTGCAATTGCCCTCAACACATCAACTGAATAATTGTATGCATGGAACTCAAATACACTAAATTTTATGTAACAAGGAAATACTTCTAAAGTTGGGTGTTGTTCTTGGTAAAACCTTAAGACATGGGAATGCACATATTTTTAGGTACATAAACACACCCAAAGTGTATGAATGTCCAGCATGAGAACGACATGAACTCCAACGTCTACTACATGCTAAGAGAATGACAAATAATGTCTATCTGTCCCAATCATACTTTTGGAGATTCGTTTCTTCCTTAACTTCCCTGGTAAAGTGGTTGAGGGGGGACATTAGCCTACCTGATAAAAAGGGGGGGGGGCCATCCATCCTGCTGAGGAAGGGGCAACACTACCTCCCCACTGCAGAGTGGGGGAACATGCCCTCCCATCTGAGGGGAGGGGGGAAAATACCTCTTTATTGAGGGAGTCAGGACACATTCTTCCCACTGAAGCAAGGAAGCAGGGAATTAAGTGGGAACTCCCCACTTAATGGGGGAGAATTTATTCCATGCTGAGGGGGACACAACCTCCCTACTCAGGGAAAAGGTGTACACAATCTCCCCACTGAAGGGGTGGGCCATGACCTCAAAGAATAAAGGGAAGCATGACTTTCCTATTGAGGTAGGGCCATGACCTTCCAGCAAACTGGGGGACAGGTAATCCTACTGAGGTAGAGGACATGAACCCCCTGTAGAGGAAGTGAGGGGGGTACACGACCTTCCTGTTGATGGGTGTACCTCCATACATACGCAGGGACACAACCACCATCTCGCTGAGGGTGGGGGACACCACCATCTCACTAAGGGAAAGGGGTCACAACTTTCCCGAAGAGGGAGGGTACATGACCTTCCCTACCGAGGCGAGGGGGAAGAGACTACTTCCCTACTGAAGGGGGACGAAACTTCTTTCCTGCTGTAAGGGTAGGGACACATACTCCCTATTTAAAGGATGGGGAGGAACTACCTCCCTGCTGTGGGGGAGGACACCACCTTCCCACTAAGGGAAATAGTACATGACCTCCCAGCAGAGAGGATGAGGGGGGGAACATAACCTCCCCACTGAGGGGTGAACACAACCAACTCACATAGTGGAAGAAACACTCATAGCTTAGGGGAAGGGGAGGGGAAACAACCTCCCTGCTGAGGTGGGTACATGACCTCCCTGCTGATGGAAGAGGACATGACCTCCCAGTGGGGGAGGGGGGGGGGGGGAGGGGGGAGGGAAACCGTCCCTTTGAGGGAGATGACTTTATCGTCTGGTGAGATGGATACGAATCATCTCTTGTGAGGTGGACATACAGAGATGCCTGCCTGACAGCCGTATTCACACAGAATATTCTAGCTCATTACATTACCCTCGTGCTGTTTTAAAGTTTTTTTTACATGTACTCATGTATCTCCCCTTTTCAAGATTATTTTAGGCACGTATTTTAATTCAGTAAATCTTGCACACTCATTTAGCTAAGACCAATGATGTATATAGCACAGTAAAGACCGAGTTAGTTTATACAATATTCAAACTAAGACTGATTCAAGAGCCTTAATGCACATGATCTTGACAGCAAAGAACCTTAAAGCGTATTATCTTTATAGCAAAACTCAGCTTCAAACTTGGCCATCTGAGGGGGTTAATGACAAACATATTGCTTTCTTAGTTAATTTTGGAATTTTATACAATAAAATCTTGAGGACTTATTGTTGATAAAATTGTACACCTGAGTCCATGTTAACAATGAATCTATGACCTAAAAATAAACTTAATGAACAGTGAGTCAATATAGTTCTTTAAGCTTGCAAAGTATTACATCAAATGATAATGTAACAAGATCCTGCTATGGGAATATTATATAGTACAATATGAATCTCAAACCAACTGCTCAAATCTTTAAATGTATATACTGTATATATATATAAATAAATCTATGCACATGGACCCAGGGTATGGGCGTTATACGTACGTGGTAGTGTCGAAGATTACTCTAGCTGCCGCACCCTTATGTCAAGGAGGAAGAAACCCTAGAAATAATCTCTGTGATTAGTGGCTTTCTGTAGTACCTTTCACACACAACACACACACATAATGAAACAAAGCCCCCCGCTTGTGTTTCTTCTGGGTCTTCTCTTTACCGTGTATCTCCACCTTCACCGCTGGGTTACCTGGGAGCCTCTCTCTCTCTTTTCTGTTTTAACATCATCTTTTTTCTTCAATACTCTTGTTCTTACTGATTTTAGATAGTAAGCCCCACATTAACCCAGATTTCAACAGCCACCACACTACTCTCATTGTTACACTACCCAGAGCCCAGATGCTGCCATGTATTGCAAATACAGTCATGGCAGCCGGGCACAGCAGTAATAGTTTTGACCAAACACATCTCGACAAAGAACTTGATATGTTACAGTAGAAAATGAAAATGGCGTAGAAATACAGGGTTACTGGGGGTTATTTAACAGTATAAATTCCTAGATTTTCAGGTATTATCTAGCTTCATATCCTACATATCAAATTCACAATAACCACTAACTACATTCTAAACCTATATAAATAAATATACATACATACACATATATGCATGCATGCAGGCATTTCATATTAATATATATATACAGTAGTATATATATATTTATATGTATATATACTGTACAGTATATATAAACTCTGACAAAGAAGATATGAAGACAAAGCATGCGAGCTTTTATACTGCTGGAAAGACCCCATCTGGGCAACTCAAACTCCTCACAATGAACCAAAGTTCTCATGCCATTTGTTCCAATTTCTTTGCAAGATGTGAACGCATGCACATACACACATACAGTACAGTTTATGTATGTGTGTATATATAAACACTAACATGTATGTATGACACTATATGTAAATCTATGGACATTTTTTTCTGGAAATAATATCCATACAGTAACTGCAACAATGTTACCAAGTGTTGACCAACCTTTTCCTGTTAACAATTACCTCTTAAGTTTTTGACAGCTCTACAGCACAGTGGAAACACTGTGCCAAAACCTGAAGCTATGTATATCACCAAAATCCTAACCTAGTATTGATCTGATCAGTGCAATGTACATCTACAGGCTACGTCTTGTAATCTTATTATCTTGTAATATTACGTTTGAGAGGCTCATGATCACGACTCTGGTGAAACTTCGCAGGAGAGTCGGCCGGTACACTCCGCAGGGGGAAAGAAAACAGATTGTACATTAGTAGAGTTGGTGATTCCTGGCGGGCTGGTCCCGTGGCAGTAGAGGTAGTGGATGTGCTTTGTGGTGTTCCTCTGATACTCTCACGCCATTACTGGCCCCATTGCTTATAATTACCTTTGACAGTGATATGTATCCAATATGATACTACTGTAGTTATAACAACAACACTTATGAAAACATCTTGGATTTAAGCAAATTTTTGGTTCCCCTCCCTTATGATATACAAAATGGACATTCATACATCCACATATACACCAATGCAAGGCCAGCCTCAAAGTTAAAGAAACCTTCAGCAAATCTGATAGTCCAAAGGTATCCAATTTAAGGTTAAGTTAGTACAAAAGATCCGGCTGAGTAATGGTGGATTTGACAGCTGACCGAGCACCTCACACAGCCACATGAGAAAGCAACACACACAAGAGATGAAAGGCTGAGCCTTCACCATCCTAACATGAGTATCTTATAAGAGCCAGAACAGCAAGGTACGCCACCACTTACCATCGGCAAACGGGTCAATGCGCTCGGGGGAAATGACCTGCATAATACGGCGAGCACGGTATTCATCTTCTCTGTCAGCAATGGTGGGCCTCTTGTACTGAGCCATAGGGTCATGATCTTTATCGACCTAGAATAACAAACAACACACATCAATACTGTGTTTAAATCATAGTTGTGTAAAAAATGTATTTGTGTATACTTAGTGTGTCATTGCTGTGTTTTCATAACTGTTTTAAACACAGTAAACACAGCAATAACACACTGTGTAAGTACACACAAATACATTTGTATGTGAATGCAAGCATGAGTCCCCTGCCAATTAAAAATGTTATAAAAAAAATTCTAATTAAATCTAATATTTCACATTCATACTGGCTCATACATTAGTGTGCATTTATTTATTAAGGTTTAGTCAGTTAATGATTCCAACAGTGTACCACCGTCGAGCAGGATGACTGCTCCTGTCAATCTATCATTTCAGCAATTGCAAGTTAACCTTTAATAAACATTGCTCAGCAGCAGCAAGATGTACCAGCATTAATACTGATATTCAACAAATAATTGTAATAATTTTATTTAAAAAATATATGTAGAAGAGCATGATACAATGGTTAAATCAGTAGTCACATAAATGTATATTTAATAAAGCCACTAGAATACAAACACTGCCTATTCCCTTGACCGCTACTTATTAATGATATCACACCTGTTCCATTACCTGGAGGGTGTCTCAGGAGCTCTTCTACTCCCCTAGTGCAGCCTGGGGCCAGTCCTACATAATAATGCAGTCATCCCACAGAAAAATGCTGTATGACTATATTCATCTCGGTAATTAGCAGGTGGTAGGATGACAAAGATGCATGACAAACTCTATTGTGGATATGTTTACACTACTTTTCTTTGTGTTAGACAATTTAATTGATTTCTACTGTGTATATGTTACCAGCAGCTTCCAAGGTAGAAATTGAATGATGTGAAATTTGAGTGTGTGTGTGTGTGTGTGTGTGGGAGATGTATATAACCTATATGATCATATGGTCCAACATGCCTAAGTGTCACGGTTCAGCTCGGAAGCATGCCGCAAACCATTTTCTCTTCTGGTTACTACTTTTACTTAAATATCTTTGATGCTTTGGTCTATCTTGACAAGTGTTAACTTTCAAAGGTAACTTAAAGTAGCCCACTTACCATTTCATTAAGGAAGAGCTGGGGGGCTGTGTATGCATTACCCCCCTTCTTCCCCAAGGTGGTCCCTCCATCATCATCTTCATCCTGGAAAATTGATGCTTTCTCAATTACTTAGTTTCAGACATTCATGGGTAAGGGGAAGATGGAGTCAAGAAGACAAACACAGGAGGGAAAGTTGGGGTTTAAAACACTAGTTGCAAAGGCTGAAAAAGGAAATATCTTTTAGGGGAAAAAAGTAATGTTAAATACAGGAACAACCTTAAATAATTGCCAGTGTCGACATGACCCTTACCTACACTGTATTGTGCATTATTACATCTTATTATTAAACTAAATACTAAGCAAACTGTTTTATATTTTATTCTTGTAGTTGGCATATTCCTGGTCACTACCAATTTTCACACTTTGTTGACGTGCAAGTCATGAACGCATACTGAATGTATCCGATCATTTTGGCCCTCTTTTTTTCTATCTTCATATTTACTCTAACACACTTTCTTCACTACTACCATACTCAATTTATTTAACATGACTATATATTGTAGCATTATATTCTCAGTCTTACATCACAAACATTTATACTTCCCACCTTTCCTTATTCTTCTTGTCTCATGATAATTGCATGTCTCACATTGTTCATCCCTTGATGTTTTATAATCAAACTACATCACCTTTTTACATCCATTACAGTTGGAACAACTGCTGCTTCTTGCACCCTTCTAAGCTTATCTTAAGGGGTTCCAGAATTACAGTCGGGTTTGTTCTCGACAGACAATCGAGAATTCCGGATTCGAATCCCGGACGGGACGGAAATGGTTGGGCACATTTCCTTTCACTTAATGCTTATGTTCCCTAGCAGTAAACAGGTACTTGGGAGTTAGTCAACTTGTAGAGGGTTTGCATCCTAGGCAAAGTCAGTAATTCAGCCTTGGGGGAGGGAGGAGGGGGGGGGGGGGGAGGGAGGAAAGACCTCGATAAAAGCACAACGTGTATGAATACATCCTGGTTTTCTGTCCCCCGACAACGAATTAAAAATAAAATTATTATTATCTATTTGTACTTTTTTCCTAACTAGTATTTCACCAGCTTCATTCAATCTGCTTTCAACTTCACTTGCACAAATTGTCAGCTCACAACCAATTGGATCCCTACGTTCAATATTTAGATAGGGCAAGACATCTGTGCACCCAAGGCCTCTGTTTACCTAGCAGTATACAGGTACTTGGGAGTTGGGTAACTATTGTGGGTTACATTTTGGGGCACTAAGTCATTGGCCCCGTACTCGAGCTTAATAGGCTTCTTGTCCCCCGACAATGAGAGAGCAAAAATTTACATACCTAGTAACCTAGTATAATATTGTACTTTCAAGCATAATTGTTTAACAATCATCTTGGTGATACAATTACTACCAGAAATTGACAACAATCATGTTGATATTAATGTACTTACAGTAATTCTGTATGAATGCAAATATTACACATAAGAACAGACACAAAATAAATATTGCTAGTACTGTACAGTACTATCTGTACAGTATACACTATCGATTACCCAAATCTCCAGATTAGTCAACAGGTATCTGATTTAAAGTTCTCCTGGTTATTTGCCAACAGGTGAAACAAGTTACAACGCAACAAGAGAGAGGCCAGCCTATCAGATACCTTTATTTACATTAATGTACAAGGGCTGAACTGAATGGAAGGGTTCGAATCCCAGGTGGGACAGAAATGGTTGGTTGCATTTCCTATCACCTAATGCCTCTGTTCACCTCCTAGCTGTAAATAGGTACCCAGCTTGCTGTAGGCTGGAAAAGGAAGACTTGCATACTGGGAAGGGTCAGTAATTCAGTCCTGGGGGAGGGGAGGGGGGGCGGGGAGGCCTCAATATATTGAATATATCCACACAATGAATTGTTATTATTATTAATAAAACAGTAAAAAAAATTTGAAGCATTTCTTAAGGGAGGATTTTTTTTTATAAAACTATAAAATCTATTGTTCATTGTATAAAATCTACTTTATAACAAATTTATAAACAAAAAATTATACTGTATTTTACCAAATAAAATGATTTTAATTTGTTCAAATGCATCAGGTAATGCAATTGAACACAATTAGAAGAAAAAAATTTTCTCTTTAATTTTTTCCTGCACACTGTCGGGAATGTCTGGTATAAACAGTGGTACTGTACTGGGGTTAAGAGACCAAAACTTTTCAACACTTCCACAATACACAAGGGGCATAACTAGCCGAGCTCTCATAGTGCTCAAAACAGAACTTGATGAACAAGTACCAAAGGGCACTTGATCAACAGGCTGTGATTCATGTGTTATACAGTAAACAGCCGAGTCTAACAGCTCGATTGACCAGACTGTCAACTAGGAGGACTAGTCAGAGACTGGACTGTGGGGGGCATTGATTTCTGGAACCAACACTAGGCAAAAGTTACAGTAATTATGCATACAAAACACTAAAGTTATTTAGATCCAATTAGTTTGTATAATCATGTAACACTATATAAAACATGAGTATGGTTGTACATGAGCTTTCAAAATAATATAAACAAAATTAAAAATGTACAGTACTCACATCCAGGTCATCCACACCAATAGACTGAACATAATTTGCATATTTATTTCCATTTGAAATATCATAAATATCACTGTCGAAGTAGCCTCCACCATCGAGCCTCACACGCTCCTCGTCCTTGCTCAGTCCTTCAGGCAGTTGTGTTTCCTTGGCCAGATTGGCCTTTCGGTTTTGAATGTCTTTGATTTGGGCTTCAACATCTGCAATTAAAGATAAATTCTAGTAAGTAAATGCTAAAGACTCTTTTTATATAAAGTGAACAATGGCTTTTATCTAAAAATCAAATTAGGTAGTGTACAGTTATATCAAATTAACTCCTTTGAGTGTTAAGTGTTAACATATGACATAACTAAGACACTCACAAAGGGATTTTATATTATCCTGTAAGTAATCTCACCACAATAAATCAAGTAGAAAGTATGTAAATTGGTGGAACAAAATCTGAGGTTTGGGTGTACAGTACTACCCGATCAATCTTGACAAAATAATATATATCCATTAACAATAAGAAGCAAGTGTACAAAATGTTTCTACATGGGAATGTTAGCTCACAAGAGAAAGTAAAATGCTAGCCAAGTTTTTTCCTAGTCTGCACTAGAAGTGTTTTCACTCCTTGTAAAATCACCTCTCTTAACATGAAGCTTGCAGAAACTACATTCCATAGTTGCAGGTTATGTTCCAATAAATATCCTCCTAATACAACCCCTGCTTTATAGGGATGGGGGGATGGGAGTATCCATGCAACCTGTGTGAACCAAGTAATTGTGTTTGTAACGTATGGCATGTGAAGAGCCTGTGTAAGATTTAACCAAACTTCACTGATGATTGAGCTCGGAACTAATTTTTCACCTTTAAACTAGTCTGGCAACCTCTCGGCAGACTGTGATAAGCCCTAAATAACAGCTCAAAACGCCCTTTTGTCAACCAAAGCACTTGAACTTTTTCTACCATGTTAAGGACTCCCCCCCCCCTTTTGCCGACAGACAGAAATTTGCCTTATTAGACGGCCGCCACTCTCGGTGGCATGCCAGTACTAGTCATCCAATTAATGCGGTAATAATTCCCTTGCTGTAATAATATTCTTCTCACAATACTGTAGATACTTTCAACACAGCACCCATTAAGAATAACTATCATTAATACTCACTTTGAAATTGTTATATGAAGTTCACTCAGTAATGATATGACCTAGAGTATAGAAAGTTCCAATAAATGAAGTTGCACAAGCTGGAACCAGGTTTCAATCTCGCCCAACTGTGCCACAGCCACCACATACCTCAGAAGTAGTCAGCGGCGGCACACCTCAGGCCCTTGAGAGCCACTTTTTTATATTAACACATTTAGGTACATTGGCATTTGTACAGCTAACTGTAGACTATATGAAGAGGAGTACAGTGTCAAAAAATTAGCTATGTGATATTAAAACTCATCACACAGGATGGTTAGTCATACAGAGGCATGTGATAAGTAGACTCTGGCAAACTCTTGGTGCATTATGAGGATATGATGAACACAAGAGTAAATAAGGTAGCTAAAAGTCTAAAAAGTCCCCCATTTTGCAGGATGGTCAGTCATACAGGGCCATATGTTCAGTAGACTCCATTCTACTGCCAATTTCTACTCTGGCAAATTTTGGGTGCATTATGAGGATATCGTCAAGAACACGAGTGAATAAAAATAATGGCAAAGCTCCAGGTGCCTCATGCCAGGGTCTGAATGGTCTGATAACTGGGCATTCAGTGTAATGTGGGAGATCATGCCACAGTTCCTGCTCACAAAGTTTGCATCTGGAGTGCTCAGGATTGCAAGAGCCGTCGTCTCGGCCCACATCATCAACCTCTAAACTATACTGACGTATCATAGGGGTCATTGTCAGCCGCCGCTGTTACCCATTCCTGTCACCCCCGCAACACTTGTCATCCATATCACCAGGCACCTCGCAACACCCTTCCACACCTTCCCACAACATCAACTGTTGCTTCCTTTTGGAAAAATTACCGCAAGACGAGTAAATTCACCATAAACACCTACCTTCCGCTGTGAATTTGCGAGCGGCCATTTTTGTTTACACTGAGCGTAGTATTGATTGTGTGCGCATGCGCGATGGTGCGGGCAGGGGGCGGGTGTGTAGCGCGCCGCCAGGGACCCGCCACCACACACACTCTCACTTAACACTACTCTAACCTAACAACTCCACTTGCCTTATATATTTTGTTAAAAAAATCTTAACTTATATGTTTAATAAACAATTATACAAAAGCTTTATTATGAACCAAAACTAACTTAATAGCTTGATCTCTGCTTATTCCACTAACAACTAACATATGTACAACTACGTCTACAAATATTTATTCAGGTAAAGTACATACATACAAGGTAAGATACAAAAGTTGATGGATTTATAGATAGAGCTAGTACATACAATGTCTAAAGCCACTATTACGCAAAGCGTTTCGGCCAGGCAAAGCGTTAAATTAATAATTAATATAATCGTTAACTTAATCTAACTTTAATAAGTGCAGATTAATACTTGCCGAGATGAGAAAATAGAGAAAACGCACTATAGGGCTCTCTAGTATTCAGAATGTATAAGAACATAAGAATCAAGGAAACTGCAGAAGGCCTGTTGGCCCATACGGGGCAGCTCTTATTTATATCCACCCAAACTCATTCATATATATGTTTAAACTATGCTTGAAACAATCAAGGAATCCTATGTCTATTGATTGACGTGGTAATTGGTTCCACAAATCGACAACCCTGTTACCGAACCAGTATTTACTCAGGTCTTTCCTAAATTTCAAAAGACGTAATACGCCACTCTAATTTACGGGCTATTCATGCCCGTGTCACCTCTTGGGTGTCTTAACCTTCATCAATAGGACCGACCTGGAGTCTCTCGAAAGTTACAGCCCCGATCCTCTGCCAAGTAAGTCCACTACGGGCTCACTATAGCCCGTGCTGCTCTGAACGTTTCGAGCAGCTGAATCTAAAACGATTGATTGATTGATAAAGATTGATTGATTGATACACCACTACACCAGCAGTCTCCGTGGTGTAGTGGTAAGACACTCGCCTGGCGTTCCGCGAGCGCTATGTCATGGGTTCGTATCCTGGCCGGGGAGGATTTACTGGGCGCAATTCCTTAACTGTAGCCTCTGTTTAACGCAACAGTAAAATGTGTACTTGGATGAAAAAACGATTCTTCGCGGCAGGGGATCGTATTCCAGGGACCATAGGATTAAGGACTTGCCCGAAACGCTACGCGTACTAGTGGCTGTACAAGAATGTAACAACTCTTGTATATATCTAAAAAAAAAAAAAAAAAAAAAAAAAAAAGATTAAGCTACCCAAGAGGTGGCACGGGGATGACTAGCCCGTAAGTGGTACAATTTTTTTGTTCAGTAATTCTTTTCAGTATTCTGAGGTTGCATTTAATCGTCAAGCTGTTATCGCGGGGGAGGATACTGCTTGACAGTCTTTATGAGGGTGTCCAGCTGCTGGACACCTTTTTTGACTAGAAGAGTGGCTGTGTTGATGGCTTCAGGGTGGTTACTGCAAGATTCAAGGACTCTTGAATCTCTTAATCTCTTGAATCTTAAAGCTCTTCTAAGGTCGTTGGTTGCTTCACATTCTAGAAGATAGTGAAGTAATGGCTTTTCTGTGACAGTTTGGCAGAAGATGCACTTTCTCTGTCGGGGTTCACTAATCTCCCAGTTGCATCTGTAATCTAAAACGACAATGGAGTCTCTCAAATAAGGCTTCGTGGGGGATAGAGAGGAACCAGCATTGTGGCTGCCTCGGCAATTGCAACAAGATGGCAAGAATTTTTCAACTTTTTCAATCTTGACTACACTGTCGCGAGTCATACTTCTTACCACAGTACTGACACCTGGGGTCAAATTGGCATTTCAAAGCCATATATCCCCAACGAGAACACTTCATGCATAATGTGGGCTCCTCAGTGTATTTTGCAACTTAGACAGAAATCACAATTGCGTGATGCATCAAATGAACAAATCCACAAGGGCCATGACGAGGATTCGAACCTGCGTCCAATGCTCTCGGACGCAGGTTCCAATCCTCGTCACGGCCCTTGTGGATTTGTTTATTTTGCAACTTTCCTGTAGCCTAGCCCTTGAACACAAATTCTTTCTGGAGCCTGACCCTTTACTAAGATAACAATCTGACTTTGTTTTTCACCACGAACATTGTTCCTCTTAACCCATACAACACTATAATGGTTGAGAAGAAAATCAGGATCCAAATAAGTTGGAAACTTAAAAACTATACACACATATATCACAATAGCGTGATACATCAAATGAACTAATTCAAAACTATGATCTAAATCATACCTGCTTCTAGAGTATCCATCACAATATTCCTAACTCCAAATGTCGTTAGGTTATCTATAGCCTCTTCTGTCACAACTGTTATGTAGGTCCGGTGAACACCCTCCTTAAATAGCGGCTTATGTTCATCCGACCCGCTCTTGATACTGGTAATGGCTTAAAAGGGCCACCACTTACGGGCTATTCATGCCCGTGCCACCTTTTGGGTGGCTTAATCTTTATCAATCATCAATCATCCGACCCCTTAGTCAGACGAACCGTCCACTTCAGCTTTTGATCAAAGTCCAGTTGACACGTTGTATGTACAACGAGTTGAAGTTACAGCCCCGCTCCTGTGCCAGGTAAGTCCACTACGGGCTCACCATAGCCCGTGCTACTTGGAACTTTTAGTTCCGAGTAGCTGAATCTAAAACAACATAACACGCTGTAGGGAATAACCGCCGCTTCCGTCGATTAATCTGCGTCTCTTGCGTCCTGCTGGTTAGGGTTTCCTGTCGAGAATGTCTGAGAGTTTGCATCACTGGATTTATTTCGAAGAGTTTGTATTACTTCGACTTACTTATCGAAGCGTTAGTAATAAGGCGCATGAGGTAGTTTTCGATACTTTTGATGTCCAAAAGTATGAACACAAGGCAGAACACGGAACAATGGGTATAAATTGGAAAATTTAGATTTAGAAAAGACACAAGAACATAGGAATAAAGGTAACTGCAGAAGGCCTATTGGCCCATACGAGGCAACTCCTATTTATTCCACCTGCACTAATACAAATAATGGATTTGTTCCCATTTCCAGCCATAATATCAATCATGTTGCCAACAATATCATCAATTCCAGCTTCCGGATAGCAAACCCTTTACCTGTTTCCCCTAATCTCTGGCACAAAACGTTCTGTCTAAATACCTCACCTGGGAATCTCCCACAACCAAAATTCGCTTAGTTTCTTCCTTTACCTTTTGAGCACTTTGAGGGACCTGCGCTTCGTTGCTCTTCGTTGCTTTGCCTTTCGAACGAACTGCAAGCTCACCACAGCACTCGTCCTCCAACACGGAAATGCATTAGAAGTCCCTAGGATATCAGTAGGCGGCTTTGTCAAAGTCTTCTTAAGGCCCCTGTCCTTTGCAACTTGCCAAGACGAGGTCTTTTTAATACTGATCTCCTCCTTTGTTTCATCCTGATGTTGTTTCAGCTGATCTCATATCCAATTCACAACCATTCCACAGTACGGCAACCAAAACTGAACTGCACAATCTAAATGAGGCCAAACCAGAGCACGATATAGCTGAAGAACATGAACTGAAGAAGAGTTCGCAACAACAACCCCAGCCCTCGTTAGATGCACCCCATCCCGTGCATACATGTCATTTCTTCCATAGAAGTGTTCCCGGTTATCTATGAAAGATATTGCATTTGATTTGCAATATCTTTCCAGCCGGCAATTGACACCAAGTGCCCTCGACAACCATTCGTTTCCAACTCCCTTTCTTAGAAGAATGCCACATATGATCGGGATTCCTCCCTTGCTCCTAACTAATTCTATGGCTGTCTTAAACCTCTGTATCAGTTCCTCACTCCTAACTGGAAACTAAGTGTCTAAGCAGATCTCGTATCTCATGGAATGTAACGGACAGGGCAAATGTAGTTTTATTAATATTCATCATAGGAAGAAAGTAGAGTGAGGATATACCTATGAGAGTTTGGAAGCTGTGATGAACAGACTGTTGGGTCAATGTCGGAAGAGATTACAACCTCTGAAGGCCTTCAAGTTCAAGTTCAAGTATGTTTATTGAGATAAGCAATAAATACATCTCAAAGGGATAGAGTAGCTTAGGCTATTTCTACCCCCCTTGAAGGCCTTGGCATGCTGTGGAAAGGGAGTGGGAGTCCCTGTGCTACGAATGATTGAGTACTGTAAGATCCCTTATTTATTATGCTGCGCCTGTCATTTCTTGTTTCGGTAAAGGTAGGATGGGCAAGTTAGAGAAGGCACAAGATGAAGCCATGAGAATTATCTTAGGATGCCTAAGAAATGTTATGATTGAAATGATGAGGATGGAGTTGAATCTGCAGAGTATTGGGGATAGAATTTCAGAGATAAATGTAACCTCTGCCATTAGATTAATAGGAGGTGGGGAGTTAATGCATTAATCCTCTCAGATCAAAAGGTGGGAGGTAACGAACAATGTATAATAAAGTATAATAAGAGATGAGTAACAGAGTCTATTCCAGGCACCCGCCAAACCCCCTGTTTATGAATGAAAAACTGTTTACACACGACTCATAACTGATGACGTCCGAACACTTCCGGAACAAGTGCTTCACTGACCAATTTAGTTCGAACTACAACGCTATAAATGCTTCACCCACGTACTACAAATACAAATAATTGCCAACAGAAACTATACTCCTAACAGAACCTAACCAGTGCCTAAATATGCACAATATGCTAATATACAATAATATTAATATATATTCAAAAAAAGTTCTGTTTTGAATGAACAGTATATTAAAATTGATAAATGCGTCTTTGGGGTCGACCGCTGGATGGAATGGACTTGGTCTGAGGACGGGTTGCTCAAGACCCCTGCCTCGCCCCAGCTGTCACCACACGTCATTACATCTCCAACAACCAACTGCTGTAACCAAAACTTAAACAAACATTAAAAAAACACTCTATACCCTTTGACCAATGTCAGGCAAACTCGTATACGGTACAGACAAAATAGTACCGTATACCGTGTTGTTAGAGAAAACGAGGGAGCCCTGGAGGGGATGAAGGGGGAACACGTAAAAACCGTAAACTGGGTCGTCTGATGGGGGACGTCATAGACCCATATGTGAACTCATCTATTTGTGTACGTATATATTTGTTTAAAGGCTTTAGTTCATGGGTCCCAGTCAAAAATACTCAAGCTATTCCAACTTATTCTAATAGATATTATAGTAATTCATAACATCATCAATGTTCCGGTGACACGAAGATTTATGGTAAAGTGGGGAATAAAAACGAGACAGAAGCTTTACAAAGAGCTCCACATGCACACAAATGGTCCGAAGACTGGCAAATACTTTTTAATATCGGAAAATGTAAGACCTTGCATGAGGGCCATAACTACCCACCTTACCTGGCGGTGATTCCAGGGGGCCAAGGTCCCCTGCGGCCCGGTCTCTGACCAGGCTTTCTCCTCCCAGGTCACAACTATCAAATTACAAAAATTCCTTAATTGCATCAGATTCATGAAGAAAAGGACCGAGGAGTCAGAACCATCATTCACTGACAAGTGCACATCAGGTTAGAACAGTCACAAAGCTAGATGACCAGACCACACACTAGAAGGTGAAGGGACGACGACGTTTCGGTCCGTCCTGGACCATTCTCAAGTCAGTCACAAAGCTAAACAAACCTTAGGAATAATCACGCGGACCTTCGACTTTAAGGAACAGAAGGTTCTGATTCAACTGTATAAATCTCTGGTGCTACAACAAGGGCTCCCTCCACCAAGGGAACAAGGGCTCCCTCCACCAAGGGAACAAGGGCTCCCTCCACCAAGGGAACAAGGGCTCCCTCCACCAAGGGAACAAGGGCTCCTCCTCCACCAAGGGAACAAGGGCTCCTCCTCCACCAAGGGAACAAGGACTCCCTCCACCAAGGGAACAAGGGCTCCCTCCACCAAGGGAACAAGGGCTCCCTCCACCAAGGGAACAAGGGCTCCCTCCACCAAGGGAACAAGGGCTCCCTCCACCAAGGGAACAAGGGCTCCCTCCACCAAGGGAACAAGGGCTCCCTCCACCAAGGGAACAAGGGCTCCCTCCACCAAGGGAACAAGGGCTCCCTCCACCAAGGGAACAAGGGCTCCCTCCACCAAGGGAACAAGGGCTCCCTCCACCAAGGGAACAAGGGCTCCCTCCACCAAGGGAACAAGGGCTCCTCCTCCACCAAGGGAACAAGGGCTCCTCCTCCACCAAGGGAACAAGGACTCCCTCCACCAAGGGAACAAGGGCTCCCTCCACCAAGGGAACAAGGGCTCCCTCCACCAAGGGAACAAGGGCTCCCTCCACCAAGGGAACAAGGGCTCCCTCCACCAAGGGAACAAGGGCTCCCTCCACCAAGGGAACAAGGGCTCCCTCCACCAAGGGAACAAGGGCTCCCTCCACCAAGGGAACAAGGGCTCCCTCCACCAAGGGAACAAGGGCTCCTCCTCCACCAAGGGAACAAGGGCTCCTCCTCCACCAAGGGAACAAGGACTCCCTCCACCAAGGGAACAAGGGCTCCCTCCACCAAGGGAACAAGGGCTCCCTCCACCAAGGGAACAAGGGCTCCCTCCACCAAGGGAACAAGGGCTCCTCCTCCACCAAGGGAACAAGGGCTCCTCCTCCACCAAGGGAACAAGGGCTCCCTCCACCAAGGGAACAAGGGCTCCCTCCACCAAGGGAACAAGGGCTCCTCCTCCACCAAGGGAACAAGGGCTCCTCCTCCACCAAGGGAACAAGGGCTCCTCCTCCACCAAGGGAACAAGGACTCCCTCCACCAAGGGAACAAGGACTCCCTCCACCAAGGGAACAAGGACTCCCTCCACCAAGGGAACAAGGGCTCCCTCCACCAAGGGGACAAGGGCTCCTCCTCCACCAAGGGGACAAGGGCTCCCTCCACCAAGGGAACAAGGGCTCCCTCCACCAAGGGAACAAGGGCTCCTCCTCCACCAAGGGAACAAGGGCTCCTCCTCCACCAAGGGAACAAGGGCTCCTCCTCCACCAAGGGAACAAGGACTCCCTCCACCAAGGGAACAAGGACTCCCTCCACCAAGGGAACAAGGACTCCCTCCACCAAGGGAACAAGGGCTCCCTCCACCAAGGGGACAAGGGCTCCTCCTCCACCAAGGGGACAAGGGCTCCCTCCACCAAGGGAACAAGGGCTCCCTCCACCAAGGGAACAAGGGCTCCTCCTCCACCAAGGGGACAAGGGCTCCCTCCACCAAGGGAACAAGGGCTCCCTCCACCAAGGGGACAAGGGCTCCCTCCACCAAGGGAACAAGGGCTTCCTCCACCAAGGGAACAAGGGCTCCCTCCACCAAGGGAACAAGAGCTCCCTCCACCACGGGAACAAGGGCTCCCTCCACCAAGGGAACAAGGGCTCCCTCCACCAAGGGAACAAGGGCTCCCTCCACCAAGGGAACAAGGGCTCTCTCCACCAAGGGAACAAGGGCTCCCTCCACCAAGGGAACAAGGGCTCCCTCCACCAAGGGAACAAGGGCTCCCTCCACCAAGGGGACAAGGGCTCCCTCCACCAAGGGAACAAGGGCTCCCTCCACCAAGGGAACAAGGGCTCCCTCCACCAAGGGAACAAGGGCTCCCTCCACCAAGGGAACAAGGGCTCCCTCCACCAAGGGAACAAGGGCTCCCTCCACCAAGGGAACAAGGGCTCCCTCCACCAAGGGAACAAGGGCTCTCTCCACCAAGGGAACAAGGGCTCCCTCCACCAAGGGGACAAGGGCTCCCTCCACCAAGGGAACAAGGGCTCCCTCCACCAAGGGAACAAGGGCTCCCTCCACCAAGGGAACAAGGGCTTCCTCCACCAAGGGAACAAGGGCTCCCTCCACCAAGGGAACAAGGGCTCCCTCCACCAAGGGAACAAGGGCTCCCTCCACCAAGGGAACAAGGGCTCCCTCCACCAAGGGAACAAGGGCTCCCTCCACCAAGGGAACAAGGGCTCCCTCCACCAAGGGAACAAGGGCTCCCTCCACCAAGGGAACAAGGGCTCCCTCCACCAAGGGAACAAGGGCTCCCTCCACCAAGGGAACAAGGGCTCCCTCCACCAAGGGAACAAGGGCTCCCTCCACCAAGGGAACAAGGGCTCCCTCCACCAAGGGAACAAGGGCTCCCTCCACCAAGGAGCCCTGAGGGCAAACCTTCACCCTGGGGAAACTATGAGAGTGTTCTCTAAAAACACATGTGATCATCCTCTCCAATGTTGTGGTGTGACACTCTGGTGTGGCACTCTGGTGTGGCACTCTGGTGTAACATGCTGGTGTGACAGTCTGGTGTGACAGTCTGGTGTGACAGTCTGGTGTGACAGTCTGGTGTGACACTGGTGTGACACTGGTGTGGCACTCTGGTGTGGCACTCTGGTGTAACATGCTGGTGTGTCAGTCTGGTGTGACAGTCTGGTGTGACAGTCTGGTGTGACACTGGTGTGACACTGGTGTGACACGGGCCAATAGGAGCTGCCTCCTGTAGGTACACAGTCTTCCTAAAAGAGCGCCTCAAATTCTTATTACTCAATGTGTTGGAAGAAAGACGTATTATTATGAACGATATCCATAGGTCAGACAATATCCCCAATATTAGCCCGAGCAGCAGACTTGGCCAGAACCATAGAACAACATGACCTTGCTCTCAGTCTCGGCTCCTCACTCTCAGAACTCCGTAGTTAAAATCAGTTGCAAAGTTCCAGTAACAAGAAGTGTAGATACGGGTGAGATACCAGAAGCACTCAAGTCAGAAGATACAGCTTCCCTACACACTGTAGGAAGCAAGGTTGGCTACATGTTATTGACTGGTTATCGGAATATCAGCAGGGAGATGGATTTTCAATCTAATGTCAGAGAGAACGCAAAGAGTAATAATCAATCATACTGAAGTCCTAGCGCAGCTCTGTGTCGCAGGGCACAGACCTGCCACCTCCGCTTGTTATCATTCCCACATCTGATGTACACAAATAAGCAAGTGTCAGCGCCATGTCATTCTTGGCTGAAGATATCAAAATCAGAATGAAATTGACCTCTGTGAAAGACACTGAAAAACTACAATCCGATATACCTAAAAGTCTTCGGATGGGAAGCAGAAAATAATATGATTTTTAACAGTGATAAACTCCAGACAATCAGATATGGTCAAAATGAACCTGAACGCAGCACAGCGTACAGGACACAATCACATCTACTCACAGAAGGAAAACTACACGTGATGGCTCTGGAGATAATGATGTCACACGACCTGACCTTGAGTGAGTACATCACATCAAAGATATGGTCAGCCAGAACAATTATTGCCTGGATTTTGAGAATCTTCACATCGAGGGATCCCAGCACAATGCTCATACTATTCAAATTACTTGTGCTTCCTCGTCTTGGTACCTGGTACCAAGTGCTTGGTAATCACTCTCCCTTTGAGAGCAGCAGAGATTTCTGAAATATAAGAAAATTAGAGAACGTATACGGCACGTATAGATACGATAAGGCACCTAAATTATTATAACCCTCTCAAAGCAATTACAAATGTACTCTCTAGAAAGGAGAGAAGAGAGGCATCACAAACCCTACACACACACACATGGCTCCCAATATACACATCAAAATACAAATATATCGGAACAAAAGATATGGAAGGAAATGCAGAAAAGAGCCAGTGAAGACTAGAGGAGCCAGAGCCACACTCGCCACTGTGAGCATCAGAGCTCCTTAATATCCTCCCAACACATATATGAAATATTGTCGGAACAAAAGTGATGTCCATAAAACAATTAGATAAGTTCCTGCAAGAAGTGGTGTGCCTGCGGGTCGCTGCAAGCAACAACCTTCTTACTCAAGTTATCACAAGATAAGCCCCAGGGCTAGAGGAGTAGAACTCCCAGAGGAGTAGAACTCCCAGAGGAGTAGAACTCCCAGAGGAGTAGAACTCCCAGAGGAGTAGAACTCCCAGAGGAGTAGAACTCCCAGAGGAGTAGAACTCCCAGAGGAGTAGAACTCCCAGAGGAGTAGAACTCCCAGAGGAGTAGAACTCCCAGAGGAGTAGAACTCCCAGAGGAGTAGAACTCCCAGAGGAGTAGAACCCCGTGTAAGTAACTCCCAGTGAGTGAGCGCACGTGCAAGACCAACCTTCACCTGGTCAAAAACAGATGTAAGGGAACGCGTGTGAGGGCGCGTTCAGCGTAGAGGTGCTCCTCATACACGTGTCCTCACACGTGTGTGAGGGCGCGTTTAGCGTAGAGGTGCTCCTCATACACGTGTCCTCACACGTGTCCTCACACGTGTGTGAGGCCCGTGTGAGGGCGCGCGTGTGAGGAGAACCTCACCACTAAACATCGCCCCAACATTTGCTCGCTGGCTTTCACTGAACTTTTTAGAGCACAAGAGTTGTGTGTAAGTGTGGCCGGGTGTAAACGGTCCCTTAACCCACCCGTGTCACTACACGTCTCACTCTTCTGTATGGCTGGAGAACATATGGGAGTAGATTGTGAAGTAACCGGGAGTAAATGGAACAGGTTATATACTGGTAGTGGTATGTAGGATGGTGGCTGAGGAAAATAGCTGTAAATGATACTTGCTGTGACTTATACCATACAGCTGAGGTGATGCTGTGCAGTGTTCGAGAGTGCATAAGGCGGGTTGGTAATATATGCCAACATTTAGGTAGTGTTGGAATGGGTCTGTGGGGTGTTATTTGAGAAAAATTATTGTACATTATACTTTTCTATAATTTATATCCACAAATAGGGCGAGCACGTGCTTAATTAGGTCTATGAGGCTTTAGACGTATGGCGGAGCTGAGGTTAGGTGAGGTTGTAATGGGAGGAGATGACGGGTGAGTTATAGAAATGGTGTTCATAATCTAGGGATACGAGATCCTGGATGTGTGTGATTGGGCGAGAATAAGATGGGATCCAACACAGGAATGTCTGCAAGAAGCAGACTGCTAACAAGATCACGAAGAACTCTCTCGACACCAAACAAATCACCTTGAAAGTCGAATGTCATCTATGACTTTACATGCCCACCTGGGGACTGTCAGCCTCAATGATCTCAATATATAGGCAAGACAGCAGGCTCTCTTGCAGTGTGTAGGACAATATGCACACAGCAACGCTCCAACAGAACATGTAGTTTCTACACACAACCACTCTCACACACACAATGGGGGCAGAGTTTCTTTTACCCTGATGTCCCTGTTACCTAGCAGTAAATAGGTACCTGGGAGTTAGACAGCTGTTACGGGCTGCTTCCTGTGTGTGGGTGTGTGTGAAAACAATAGTAGTAACAATTGATCGATTGACAGTTGAGAGGCGGCCGGAAAGAGCACAGTTCAACCCCCGCAAGCACAACTAGGTGAATACAACAAGGTGAACACACACCCAGACATGCAGCCAACACACCACAACAGTCTACAGGTACAGCGACAAGAGAAGAGTAGACATGAGCCAAGCACCACATATCAAACAATATGACTCAACTATGAGCAGCCAGTTAAGACTCGGGAACACTCTACAATCCTCAAGATCAAGACGGAATACTCAGTACACACGGCTCCAGCCATAAACGATTGGGCACTATCTAACTTTCTTACACATCACCTCTGCTTTAGCAAAAGTTGACATTATCAACAAAACGCTTCCCTTAGCGTCAGATCACACAATTGTAAAATTAATTTTGTAGATTTAAGTTTGCATCTTCTGAAGAGAACATAAGAAACCTGTGTTAGTTAAGCTTCTCTCCACCCCCCCCCAGCCACTTTGACTGGACGGTAGAGCGACGGTCTCGCTTCATGCAGGTCGGCGTTCAATCCCCGACCGTCCAAGTGGTTGGGCACCATTCCTTTCCCCCCGTCCCATCCCCAAATCCTTATCCTGACCCCTTCCAAGTGCTATAAAGTCGTAATGGCTTGGCTCTTTCCCCTGACAATAAAATAATAATAATCTCTCCCCCCCCCCCCTCCCCTTAAGCCTATAATGGTAGATGAGTCCCTTCAGCTCAAGGACGAGCCAGCACCTCTAAAAGTCACCATTTCACAAGTGTACAGGTGAAAAAGTGGGTAATTGGTGAGATCCGGGGGCAAGGAGAGCGTCAAGAGGGCCACGAATCACCAGAAGTAACCTTGGAGAAGCTCAAGCACAGCGAAATGTCTCGCGCCTTATTCTTAACCTGTTTCTTCCTCCAAGATCTTTCCTTCAACCCAGCCCGAGTGTTTCCTCTCAACCATAAGCCATTTTCCTCTCAACCTTCCCTTCAGTTGTCTCGTAGCTACAAGCACAATAAACAGTCCTGCAGTGCTTGAGGTAGACACTTTTGGTTATATGTAGATACGGTTCTTCTAAGATGTTGTCACTTTCCCCAGCAAGATCACATAAGTTTAAGGCGTGGTAAATGTTAAGCAACTTGCTAACGTTTCTGCCAGAAACGTTGTGCCTGTTAGTGGCTCTGAAAGACTGTCACACTACCAGTGTTATGTGCCTTTATAACCTAACCTAACCTTCTTCTATACCAATATATAAATAAGTAAATAAAAAAATACTGTTACTATGGCGGTGTGTCCACTCACAGGATGAGTGGCGCTGCCCAATACTGTCACCATGGCGGTGTGTCCACTCACAGGATGAGTGGCGCTGACCAATACTGTCATTATGGCGGTGTGTCCACTCACAGGATGAGTGGCGCTGCCCAATACTGTCACTATGGCGGTGTGTCCACTCACAGGATGAATACTGTCACTATGGCGGTGTGTCCACTCACAGGATGAGTGGCGCTGCCCAATACTACTGTCACTGTCATGGCGGTGTGTCCACTCACAGGATGAGTGGCGCTGCCCAATACTGTCACTATGGCGGTGTGTCCACTCACAGGATGAGTGGCGCTGCCCAATCTGTCACTATGGCGGTGTGTCCACTCACAGGATGAGTGGCGCTGCCCAATACTGTCACTATGGCGGTGTGTGAGTGGCGCTGCCCAATACTGTCACTATGGCGGTCACAGGATGAGTGGCGCTGACCAATACTGTCATTATGGCGGTGTGTCCACTCACAGGATGAGTGGCGCTGCCCAATACTGTCACCATGGCGGTGTGTCCACTCACAGGATGAGTGGCGCTGCCCAATACTGTCACCATGGCGGTGTGTCCACTCACAGGATGAGTGGCGCTGCCCAATACTGTCACCATGGCGGTGTGTCCACTCACAGGATGAGTGGCGCTGCCCAATACTGTCACCATGGCGGTGTGTCCACTCACAGGATGAGTGGCGCTGACCAATACTGTCATTATGGCGGTGTGTCCACTC